GAGGCTCAAGTTGAAATGGGAGAAGCTGGGTGGGAGAAGGTGGTGGATACAGTGCTAGCTTAGACAGAAGGCAGAAAGATAAGATAACCTAAGGAAGCAGGGGGCAGAAGTGCCAATGCATGTAGTTTCTGAGGAAGGGGAAACCTCCCCTAGAATAAACCTGTTCAAGGATACACTGCAATGAGTGGGCAAAGCTTTTCCTTCTGCAGGCCACTGAGGCACAGTTTATGCCCAGAAACATGAGCTGCTCCCTCTTGCCTTAGCCTGCAGAGCTGCATGTGTTGTTATAGAATATACAATTATACAGTCCTTTTAAAAGTCACCTGTGGTGCATGCCTCCTCTTGTGGCTACAAGTTCCACAGGCTGACTTGACACTGAGAACATATTTAGATACCCAGTTTTTGCTGTCTGGCTATTAGATTGTAAGCAATTAGATGCAGGGACAGTTGTCATTTGGAATTTGATTGCGCTTTTAGAGGGGACATTATGCCTCAGGTAGTACATGGGGGTGGCAGGTTTATGACTTTGTAAAGTATAATCCCTCCCTGAGCTTCCTGGAGTATAGGAGAGGTGCGTGGATGGCAACATCTTTTAAATTAGATTAGGCTGCTGCAGATAGGTATGACCCATCTGGGGTGATGTGCACTCCAAGTACACAAAGGGAGCAGTCCCTGCACTTATCTGAACACAGGCACTGTGGCTGGCCTAGAGCAGTACTGCATGGAGGATCTTTCAGTACCTGTCCCCTCCCACTGTGAACATGCCCAGAGGGCAGGTAGTCTGGCCCATTGTCTTGTTCAGCGCTGTACCTATTCTTAGCACTTGACAAATAGTGCCCCCCCACTCCTCTCCTCCACCTCCCTGCATGAGGGGGCCATGGCCTTCTGTTCCAGTGCCTCGGGTCTGTCTCCTCTCCCTGGCAGTTTGCTGTAGAGTTAGGCAGTCTCTGAGAACCACAATGGGAGGGGCCCTGCACATGAGTCAGGTGGCCAAATGTCTATCTTCCCCTTGACCCTATTCCTGGATTGCTCTGGGGCTCAGGCAGGAGATATGTGACCCCTAGAGGGAGGCAGCAGTGTGCATGGCCAGAGGCCAAAACATAGGTGCTTGGGAACTTTTACATCAGAAATTTAAGCACCAAGTGAGTTTAGGCACTACACGGTTGACAGCAGCCAAGTGGGGGTTTTGTGGATTGCAGTGGCACCTAGATCAGGGGTTAGACACTTAAGTACCTTGGTGGATCCAGGCCAGGCTCAGGGAATCTTGAGAGACATTCATTTAACCTTTCCTTTTTGGAGCATTAGGCACATGACCCTTCAGCTAGTGTACTGATTTTCAGTAACTATTTGCATGAACTTGTTTCATATGCATTAATCATCTTGCTTAAAAATAAAATGTGAAGGCATGCAAATTACTGAGAGAGTCACAGCAAACAAACTGGGGCACACGCTCCATGACATACATGCACCCGTTATTTATTTCATCCAAACCCCATTAAAGTGTCATCTACTTCTTGGCTTTGCGAAAAAACAACAAAGTCTTTGTTTTGTTCTTGGGGAACCTATTTATGTACACTCTGAATCATGCTTGTTGAAATGTTTGTTTTTTTCCCTCCTACCACCTATTAAAAATTAGAAGTACCAGTAGTTGCTCCAAATGCCTCTGTGCCCTTTCATCACTCACAAATTGCCTGCTGGACAGAATAAGTTTTGTTAATTGTTTCAAATATCCTTATTTTGAGTTTACTTGAATTCCCAACTTTATAAAGCCTGATTCATGCACAGAAAGAATGAAAGCTGAGCAATCTCAAGAAGAATAGGCCAAAATTTTTAAAGACTGGGTGACCAAATTTGGAGCCTAAAGAAGGGACCTGATTTTCAGAAGAGCTGAGCATTCAGTAGTCCCTGCTGAGGTCAATTACTTCAGAGGGAGCTGTTCAGTGCTTTTAAATAGTTTTTTTAGGATCCTAAATCTCCACACGTGCTTAACTTGAGGTACTCACATATTGGAAAATCTTGGTCACATTGTGGAATTGCAGTTGTAGGGTCCCTGTTCTCTCAGAGGAGTGGGGGGCCATTATTATAGCACACACTAGCCCTAATCATGGACCAGAAGCCCATTGGGCCAAATGCTGTACAAACACAGAACAAAAGGATAGTCCCTACCCCAGACAGACATACATGGGAGTACAAAGAAACAATGAGACAATAATAGTCAGCATGATAGGCACACCAGCCCCCTAACTGCTCTGTCTTCCCACGGTTTCCAAGGATATGGAAGGGAAAAGTGTGAGCTACCACCAGCCTCCTCTATGATCCTGTTGAATGACAGATAATCCTGTTACTTTCTGTCTATACAGCCCTGTGTTGTGGTTTGTCTGTGGCTTCCTGCCATAAACATGCAGTGTCTGGCAGTGGGCAGTGTTGTGATAATTGGGCCTATAATTTTACCCTATTTGTGAGTGCAGTTGTGAAGTATATGAAAGATCATAAAATGTTACAATACTTCCTATTTACATTTATTATTATAAGTCAAGTTGCTTTCAGTAATGAACATTACGAACAGGTGCAAGAGAACCAGATAGAGAGACAAAATTAGTCCAAAAAAAAAAAAGGCCACATTAATATAATTCAAGGACTATGTTGAAATAATGCCTGGTAAAAACAGAAGATGGGGAATCAAAAATTAATGAACCAAAATTGGTGTGATGGATATTACGCCTGACTGGTGGACAAAATAATGAGAGGATGGGCTATTCCATCCACCATTTCCTTTGTGAGTCCTTAAAGAGAAAGACTGGGGGTGGGAACTACAGAACAGATAGAATCATAGAAGGGACCTCAGGAGATCATCTTGTCCAACCTGCTGCTCAAAGCAGGACCAATCCCTAGACAGATTTTTGCCCCAGATCCCTAAATGGCCCCCTCAAGGATTGAGCTCATAACCCTGGGTTTAGCAGGCCAATGCTCAAACCACTGAGCTATCCCTCCCCCCAAAGGCTACTGGAGTGAGCTTCACCATTGCTTGGGACCCTGAGCCTTCTTCATCCTAATCCTGAGAGAGCATGACCAGACTGGGCCAGAGAGACCTGGCCACCTGTGATGAAATGGGACCAGACTTTAATAACAACATTTCCAACTCATCCCAACTAACTTCGTTTCCCCAAAAAGGCAGTTATTACTATTTTTGAAATAATCTAAGAGACTGTCAAACAAAGGTGTTTTCCTTTTAAAAACTCTCTCCAGCTGAAGGGAAATGGAGCAAGAAATGTTAAAATGGAAACCTTACTTAATGATTCACATTTCAAATGCTTTAACTGTTTTTCTTTCTTTTCTGTATCTTTAATAAAATTTTTTAAAGATTTTTGATGGTGTATTTGACATGGTACGAAACAGGCTGAGGTCTCTGTATACCAAATCCGACCTTGTTTAATGTTGGACAGGAACTGGATTATGTTAATATCTGTGCCCAACAGAAGCCACTCCACCATAGAGATGACCCATGCCATCTCCTCTGTACCTGATTCTAGCTTCTTTTCCATCAGAGCTCTTTATTGCATGACAGTTGTGAATTTTTTTTATGTTTTTTTTTTTAAGTAGCTTCTTTCTTCTCCAACATCAGCTATCCACTCTCACCTAGCCAGGTCCATACTAGAAAGGCGTTGCCAGTATACCTATAGCTGCAAACCCTCCCAGTGGAGATGCAGCTTATAGCAGCAAAAAAGTGCTTTTGGTTGGAGAGCTGATACTGGTTCCCCCAGCAAAATGAGTTAGTCGAACGATATAACTATGCCTGCACTATGAGGATCACTAAGGCTATGTCTACACCAGAGGTTCTCAAACTGTTGTGCGTGGACCAGTTCCATTCAGGTGGTCCACAGATATTTCCTTCTAAGGTGCACGCCTGGGCGGCCGCACACAGGAGAATGAAGGGCCACCCAGCTAATTAGTGGAGCCACGCAGGTGTGATGTGACTCCACTAATTTGGTGCCTGGACCCTAGAGAAGACACACATGTAAGGTGAGGTGGTGGCCCTGGCCGGAATGGGGGTAACTGGGAGGGGGCAGTGGTGTGAAAAGAGGGGGTGGGGAGAATTTGGGACATGCAGGGCTGCGGTGGCCAAAGAAAGAGAAAACTTTCCCCAGCTCCAGGACTGCAACTGCCAGGGAGAGACGGCCCTCCTTCCCAGCCTCAGCTCTGTGACTACCTGGGCAAAGGAGAGACCCCCTCCCCTCCTTCCCAGCCTCAGCTCTGTGACTACCCGGGCAAAGGAGAGACCCCCTCCCCTCCTTCCCAGCCTCAGCTCTGTGACTACCCGGGCAAAGGCGAGACACCCCCCCCCCCTCCAGCTCTGTGACTACCTGAGGCAAGGGAGAGACACCCCCAGCTCTGTGACTACCTGGGGCAAGGGAGAGACACCCCCCTCCCAGCCCCAGCTCGGGGGCTGCCACGGCGACAGCAGGAGGCACATCCATCACGTTAGAAAGGCAAGACTACGGATATTAAAATATAAGTTGTGCACTTTTATTTGTAGAACACCAATTCCCCGCTCCACCCGGCGCAGCCCCACCACAAACCATCACCCCCAGCCCCTCCAGCCGAGAGGCTACACGGGCAGAGGGTGCACCACGGACCTGGCCCGTCTTCTCTCCACTGCCACACCCCGACAGCAGGAGGCGGCGAGGCCGGGCCCAGGGTGCGCCCGGAGGGCCTGGTCTGCCCCGCAGGCGCTGCACCGGGCTGAAGGGGTCGGTTGGGCCTGTGCCCAGCCCCGCAGGAAGCAGGCGGGGCGGCTCCGTAACGGGCGAAGTCTCTATGCAGGTCGAACGCCGTCCCCGTTTCTCTGCTGCTTTCGGCGCCACCCCCAAGATGGCAGCGACCTTCCTCTCTTTGTGCCACCTTCAAGATGGCGGGCCGGTGAGAGCCCGTCTATCGGTACCGCCTCTAAAATGGCGGCTCGGGGAGGCCCCCGCACTTACTATTTTGTGCCGGGGTGACCAGCCTGTTCGCCGGATAGCGATTGCGACTCGCCCGCAGCGAGCCCAGTGAAGGCGCCGCCCGTGCTGGCAGAGCCTGCGGTGTCCGCCAGGGCCCTGACTGGAGGCGGCTGCTGTCCGGGTCGGGCAGCCCGGCGGTGGCGGAGGCAGCTGGCAACGGCTTTATTGTGCGACGCGGAGCGCTCAGGCCCCCGGTGATGTGCGGCTCGGGAGAATGGCGCCGGTGGGGAGCGGCCGAGCGGGACTGTGGCTGTGGCCAGGCTAGGGAGTGGTGGTGAGAGGCCCCCGCCTGTCAGAACCATCCGGGGAGCCGGGCCCTGCCGCTCCCGGCCCGGCCCGTCCCTAGGCCCCTCCCGAGTCTGTCACTGTCCTCTCCGCTCGCCCTGCTGCCAGGTGCCCTCTGCCCCGCCTAGGCTGTGCGCCCCGCTCCCCCCAACCTGTCCCCAGGTGCCCCATCTCCCCGTCCTGCTGGTAGCTGACCACTTCTTACCCCCCCCCCCCGGCTCTGCCCTCTGCTGCCCCGCTCAGACTGTGCGCCCCGCCCTGCTGCCCCCTTCCTCCCCCAGTCGGTGTGTCCTGCCCTTACTCAACCCCTGCAGTCTGTATTTCTCGTCTGTGCCCCTGCCCGAGTGTATTCCCTCTTCCCTCCCCACTACAGTGCCCCTGGTCTCGTCTGCGTCTCTCTCTGCCTGTGCGCCCCTCTTCTGGCCCCTCCAGAAACCACGAGGTCCTAAGCACTGGGAAGTCGCAAGACTGCGTGCGAGGGTGTTTGTGGCAGGAGTAACTTGCTTAGCCTGGTTCCGCTCAGCTCAGTAGAAAACCGGGACGCTGAGGCCAGTGCTGGTGAGATGACTTCTGGGCTCAGAGCTGCGAGTTTCCCCACGTGGAAACGTCACATTGCAGAGGAGCTGAGGCGCCGGGACCGGCTGCAGAGACAGGCCTTTGAAGAGATCATCCTCCAGTGTAAGTGTGTGTAAGGAACCACAGTTTTGCTCTGCAACCTCAGTAGCATACTTCTAACCATAGCATTGTTGGTGCCCGCTGCATCCCACGGTTCCCAAAGTTGTTAATGTTATAAGCACCCGGAAATGGGGATATATTTGAAAATGTTGGGCAACCTTAACCATGATCGTTACTGTTGCACTGCATATAATGAAAGACGAAAGCACTGGTTTGTTGTTCATGCTTAAATGTAGTATTTCACATTTAATATGAGAAACGATCTGGTTTCAGTTCAGTCTGTCTGCACTGTGGATGGTCTGAGAAGTATCTTTTCATCTTTTAAAGTACTTCCTCTAAGGCATTGTTCAGGTATTTGTCAAAATGAAGCCCGCACTAGTGTTGGCTATACTGACTTTTAGTTGGGGCTGTTAAGTCTCTAGTGTTGGTCTTATCCAATATAGTTGGCTTTTCACTTTGAGCTTGTTTTTTGGCCATCTCTTTTACCTATAGTTGCAACATGAGTAAATAGAAGCAAATGGCTTGTCCCCAAGTGTTGTGCTACCATGCTAACCCTAACTCATTACTTTTTTTCCCCCTGTAGTGTAAAATAGTCTTCTAGGGCTGTATTACAAATATTAGCGGGTTGGTTGTGTTCTACAGGCTGCGTTTTGGTTGCCTTTGCCTAGGATGAGTTCAAGAATGGATTCTTCAAACCCATATTCCCATGAGAAGTCCTACATATATCAATAGTAGTACATTTGAGTAAGGACTACTTCTGAATAAAACTTTGCAGAATTGGTCCCTACTGTCTGTTTCTGAGAGATTATCTAAGCCTGAGTAGGAATAAAACCACTGTCTACCAAAGTCAAAACAGGGTGTGTGTATCACAGTGTGACATAGTGTCATATGATGAGTTGCTGTAGGATTAACTACAAGATCCTGAAATCTTATAAATGGGGAAAGCTGGTTTTGCTCCTCACTTGTTTTTTAATTGTACTTTCTTGTCCTGTTAGATAACAAGCTGCTAGAGAAGACTGATCTCCATGCCGTGCTGGCTGATAAGCTGCAAGCAGAAAAGTATGACTTACAAAGCAGACATGAGATCAGGTACTTGGAATTCTTTTTCAATCAAGATGAACATTTCAATCAGCTGTCTCCCATACACTAAAACTTCAGGCATATACATCCAGTCTCTATAGGTTACTACTATAACTTGGAACCAAATATTCCAATAGCTCCTGATAAACCTAGATTAGGTTGTAGACCACTTCATTACAAGGTCTTGCAATTGTTACCCAGTTTAAGTCCATTCTTGTTGAAAGCTATCTTACAAATAGATTTTCAGACAGATAATGGTTTATTTGGTCATTTGTAGCAGCCTCTGTATTTGATACGGCCTAAATTGGACTATTATGCTATTGGACCTATTTGCCCCATAACTTTCATACTACTACTACTCACTGTTGGCTTACAATACTACTTCAGTCAGTGACTTTGTCCAATTTCATAAGCGCTGTAGGGAAAGACCAGGTCTGTACTTAAGGTAGACTTGGTGGTTCATGGTCTCATGAGTCATGAAGACTTCCATAGGGAGAAAAATGAAGTGATAGAGTGCATTCTGTTTTCTTCCCCTCTCTTCCTCCGCCCCCTCCTCCCCCCCCACCCCCCCCAAGTGCCAAAAAAAGCCAGGTGGCCATTAGCTTCAGAAAGTGTTATTGCTGTAGGGAAAAAAAAATCAGATACTGCAGGTGGTGATGGTGCTGATGGTTCTATTTGCATTTCAGTTTGTACTGATCCAATTCCCTAGCATAATGCGACGTATAGTTCCATGCATTGACAGCATGTGAACAGTAACAGATCAGGACTGATATTATTGCAATAAGGGCACAATAGTAGACTTCAATATTCATGACAGTTATAAAGTTGATGTATACAAATTGCTTCACTAGCCAATGAAGTGCAGCTACCTCTAGAGTGGAAAACATGTTGTGTAAAACCACTGTATGCTGTTGACGATAGGAAACGAATAATACTATGGCCTACATAAACTGCAAGTGAAACATTAGGCAAGTAGAATGTAATTAGTTGAAATAGAATTTGACCGGCATACCACAGGCAAAACATTAAGTAACTAGAATGTAATTACTTGTTAGAAATTGACAAGCACACGGGCTGATAGCCTTATGAAAAATCTCAAAGGTTCTTTGGTGACCATAATATTTAAGATTGTACAAGTATCTTCTGTGGCAAAAGTTATGTTTGTGGGGATTGTAACAGGCTGCCCTGCCATCTGAAATAGATTCGTAGTTGTGCCATCGATAGCCTCCCACAAATGAAAGTTGGCTATGCCCAACTGAATAATAGTGGGGGGTGGGGGAAGGACTACAGTACATATAAACAAAGCCTTAAAAGTAAAATCCTAAGCCTTACTCTGGAAGTGCCCTCAGTATACTCTTGTATATGTTGATAGGGAGTGAATCCCACAGCCCTGGGGCTCTAAGAGACTGTCTTTACCTGCCCTAAAGACTTGGGTGGGGAATGGCTGGTTCCACCTGGTAAGTCACAGGATAACAGACGTTCCCTCAGGACTTTTTACACTACCTTTGGACATGCAGATGTCTGGAAATACATTGCTTCCTATTACCATATTGGGCCACTGGGTCAGTGCTACATGGGTAGGAAGAATAAGTTATCAACACCACTTCCTAAAAACCTAGACCTCCTATTCTGTTGGTGACCTGGTTTGCGCCTACTTAGCTTGTGAGATCTGATGTAAGAACAACCCAAAGTGGTACGGTTTCAGGCAAAATAGAAATATTTGTTATCGTGTAAACTAAAGTGAGAGAGAGAAGTTCGAGATGACCACGTACTAGAGTCCCTCTCGCATTCATTTCCCTTCAGAACACTAATCTGTCACTCTGACTCCTTTCTGATTTTATGGTCTTCAGAGCAGATTAGCTAGGTCGTTCCATCTCCTCCTCCTCCTCTCTTTCTTCCCCCCGAGTGCCAAACATAGGATGATTACACAAACAGATACTGCACGTTTCCTTCTTCTACTGCTTAAGGTTACTAGTATGTCTATTTTTTTCTGATTTTCATTGTTTTAGAAAAACTGGTTTGTTTTTTTAACTTCTAAAAAAGTTGTTGATTTGTTTGAATTATATCTTTTAAAAATTGACCTCCATGTTCCTGTGTGTGAGCTTCCAAAAACATAGGAGATTTTGGTTATAGTGATGGGTAGTGTATTGTTTATATTAGTTTCTACTGGCTCCAACCTGATCAGGACCCCGCTGTGCTGTACAAACAGAATAGGACAGTACCAGTTCCCAAGGAGCTTACAACTTCCATAGAAAAGATAGACAAAGTGTGGGAGAAGAAACAGAGGCACAGAGAGGGCAAATGACTTGCCCAAGATGTTACAACAGATCAGTAGCAGATCAGGGAATAGAGCTCAGGTCCCCGATTGTCAGTCCATTGCCCTATCCCCTGGAACATACTGCCTTCTGGAGAACTCTAGACTCCATCAGCTTCCTCCACAAACCACTTTAAATGCACCCAAACTTGCAGTTTTTGCAGTCCTTGGGGTATTGTATAAAAAAACCTCATCTTGCTTCTGTTTTAACCTAAAACCAGGAACTCTTAATATAATAACTGGATCTAAGTTCTATTTTGTAGGTGATAAGAGTGTGAACTCAGTCCCTGGAAAATCAAGGAACTGTGCTGGGAGGAGAGGGTGTTATGGAACTACTTTTCAGTCTATTTTTATAGACTAGCCTGTTAATGGGGGGGGTAGGGCCCATAAGTAGAGTGACAACTTGTAAATTAAAAATAATGCAATTAGTAACTGACAGCATTGGGTTTACAGCATGCTGTAAGACTTGTGTTCACCCTAGGTTAGGACTCAACTTGTGTAGCGTCTTATGCACTTCCCCAAATCCTCTGAAGAAAAATTAAATGTTTATAAAGTAACAATAGGAACAGGAGAGAAATTGAAAACTTACCATGTACAGGAAAGGGCTAAATTATTTTCATCTAAGATTTAGGAAGAAGCAAAAAGATGGAGGTAAGATATTCTAGATCTAAGAAGCTTTAGAAGAAAAAACATTTTCACAAAGAGGTGAGAGTAGGTGGAGGAGACCAGGGTTAAATGAACTAAGGAAGTGGGGAGAGGAAGACAAAGTCCGTGAGGAATAGGTCCAAAGAGGAAGGTTTTGTTGTATAACCTCAAATGCATATGGGAGTTAGTGGAATTCTCGGAATATAAAGACTATGTCAGAAGGCAAGCAGCAGCAACTCTGCATGTCCTGTGGTGGGGAGATCAAGTTTAGGGGGGTGCAAGAAAAGATGAAGACACTGATGAAGGGGTAGTCAGGGAAATGGTGTCAGGAGGTTATGGTATATCTGAAGGCATACAGTTGAGAGAGGAAAAAGTAGAATTACGTGACAGGGATGGGTACAACAACATGACAGGAAAGGTGAGTTCTAGGTCAGGAACGAACCCCTCCACCCCCCAGCCCCATGAGAGACAAGAAACAAAAAACTTTAAAAAACTAACTAAAAGTCTGAGCTGAGGATTATGGAATAGTACTGGAGAGTACTCCTCTTGTCCAAAAGAACAACTTCTGTCCTTAAGACCTGTAGTTGAAGGGAGTTAAGTCACATGTTTGCTCACTTGAGGAAAGCAGTGTGTGTCCCTACTTCTAGGATGCAAAGACCTCAAGTATTTTTTGTATACTTCTTGACAGGGAGTTTCAAGAGGGTTATTGAAGGATGCATTTAAATGATGTTTTAAATGTCATGCCTGACTAGGTCTGGCTATTTTAATGGGTGAATAATGGGATGTATAGACAGACTATGAAGAATTTACAAATATGCATGAGACTTCCTTTCGTAATACATTTCAATACAGGGAGGTTGCCTGGAAGGTTTTAACTCTACCTTAATGTCTGAATGTAGTTACACGAATTTGAAATTGCAGGAGATGCTGTTATGAGGCTAACTAGGCAGAGGCTCAGAAGCAATCAACTTCTAGCTTGTGAAATCTCTCTTCTAAAATTCCAGTCCAGGGCATGATGGCACAAGGAATGAAGCTCAATTGCAGGAAATGGCCCAGCTGAGGATTAAACATCAAGAGGAGCTGACAGAGCTGCATAAGAAGCGTGGCGAGGTTAGAAAGTGCTCTTTCATGTATTGTGTGGCCCTTTGTGAGCATGGTGTCTGTGCGGTAATTCTAAAGCTATTGGATTCTGATCCTGTTTCATTATCTTTGCTATTGTCAAATTAAAACTTCTGATAGGTTTGTTACTCCTTGACACTTCTCAGTTGCAGAATGTTCAACCTGTTCATGTGATTGACTTGTACTATTCATTGTTGTAGTTCAAAGGATTTGCTTTTCCTGCATAAATGAATCTTCTGGTTGCTACTTTATTTCAGTGCTTTTTGTGATATTTGGAAAAAGTGAAGATTTCTTCCTCAGATTCACCCTCAACATTTGATGTGGCTGTGTCCAAAGAAGCCTTTCTGTCTGACAGGGCTGAGATACTAAGGGATAGTAACAGTGATGACAACTACTCCTAAGTAGTAGACTTCCCAGTCTGATACTGTTTGCTAGTACTGTGTCCAGAACTGTTTGCTATCTTTGAAGAAGAGGAAGTTCTGAAAGATGCACACATTACTTATAAAGTTGGACTGACACATTCTGACTAGGAGTCAATGAATGGCTGATGTACAGGTGGCATCCCTGCATTTTTTTTGTAATTATTTTTTCTCTCCCTAGTTGGCCCAGTCAGTGATTGATTTGAATAACCAAATGCAGCAGAAAGACAAGGAGATGCAGATGAATGAAGCAAAGTGAGTAGGAGCAATTTCTTCTTTGTGATATAGGGCATGAGACCCAGATTTTTGGTCAGGTGTTTTTGTATTACAGTAGTGCCTAGGCGCCCGGTCATGGACCAGGACCCTGTTGTGCTAGGCACAGTACAAACACAGACCAAAAAGATGTCCTCTGCCCCAAAGAGTGTTTTTCATTGTGTTACTTATGCTGTTGCTCTTCCAGGATTGCAGAATACATGCAAAAGATCTCTGAGCTGGAAACAGAGTGCCACGAATTGCGCAGCAAGCTGCAAGAACTTGAGCGAGCCAATCAAACACTGAAGGATGAGTATGATGCTCTCCAGATCACCTTCACTGCCCTAGAAGAGAAACTGAGGAAAACTACTGAAGACAACCAAGAGCTGGTCACACGTTGGATGGCAGAGAAGGCTCAGGAAGCTAATCTGCTCAATGCAGAGAATGAGAAGGACTTGAGGTGAGATGTTGACCATATATTTGGTAAAATAAGTGTGGTTTGAGTACGCCTACCCTCGAGGGACCATTGTCTTCTAGAGTCTTCAGTCTACTCTGAAAACCTAGACATTCAAGGCAGAAAAGATTCTGGAACTTCATGTTCATCCTGTGGGGCTAGCAAAGTAAAGTATATTCTCCGGGGCTTTGTCTAATTGTAAATAACTAAAATAATGACTTTTCCACTATTTCCTCAGGAAACTATTCTAGTCTAACAGATCAAACAGCTGGAATCTGTCTTCTGATTTTACCATGGTTGTATCAGATATAGTTACTCCTAGTTTTACCCCCTTGGGCTAACCTAAACAATTTCTTAATTTTCTGTATCCGGTTAACTTAGTTGCTATTTGATCAAGCAATGCATTAACTTGAATCAGTTCCTCGTAACTTTTGGTTAATAGCCATGCATGCAGTCTTCAAAGTGTGATCTTTCCAAATGCAGCTTACATACTTGCCTCCTTGGCATGTGATGCGTGTGTGTTAGCATCATATAATCTCACTAGATTTCTTTGTTGACATATCATTATAAGGTTGTGCTTATGTAAAGAACTTTGTTTTTTCCCCTCCAGGAGGCGACAAGCCAAGTTGCAGAAAGAGCTAGCAGAAGCTGCCAAGGAACCACTGCCAGTTGAACAGTAAGTAACCCTGATTTCAGGCAGTAGAGGTGTGCCAAAACTGAGGTCTGGGAAATAAATCTGTTCTGTTTCTCCTGTCCGGTGTGAAAGGTGTCTCTTCTTATCACCATGCATGAATGTATTCTTATTAGGGCTGTCAAGCGATTAAACAATAATAGAATACCATTTATTTAAATATTTTGGATGTTTTCTACGTTTTCAAATATATTGATTTCAATTACAATACAGAATACAAAGTATACAGTGCTCACTTTATATTTTTTATTGCAAATATTTGCACTGTAAAAATACCAAAGAAATAGTATTTTTCAGTTCACCTAATACAAGTATTGCAATGCAACCTCTTTATCATGAAAGTTGAACTTACAAATGTAGAATTATGTACAAAAATTAACTGCATTCAAAAATATAACAATGTAAAACTGTAGAGCCTACACATCCACTCAGGCCTACTTCAGCCAATCACTCAGACAAACAAGTTTGGTTACAATTTGCAGGAGATAATGCAGCCTGCTTCTTGTTTACGATGTCACCAGAAAGTGAGAACAGGTGTTCGGATGGCACTGTTGTAGCCAGCGTCCCAAGACATTTACGTGCCAGATGCGCTAAAGATTCATATGTCCCTTCATGATTCAACCACCATTCCGGAGGGCATGCGTCCATGCTGATGATGGGTTCTGCTTGATAATGATCCAAAGCAGTGCGGACCAATGCATGTTCATTTTCATCATCTGAGTCAGATACCATCGGCAGAAGGTTGATTTTCTTTTTTGGTGTTTCAGGTTCTGTAGTTTCCGCATCTGAGTGTTGCTCTTCTAAAACTTCTCAAAACATGTGCCATGCCTCATCCCTCTCAGATTTTGGATAGCACTTCAGATTCTTAAACCTTGGGTCAAGTGCTGTAGCTATTTTTAGAAATCTCACATTGGTACCTTCTTTACGTTTTGTCAAATCTGCAGTGAAAGTGTCCTTAAAACAAACATGTGCTGGGTCATCATCCGAGACTGCTATAACATTAAATATATGGCAGAATGTGGGTTAAACAGAACAGGAGACATACAATTCTACCCCAAGGAGTTCAGTCACAAATTAACTAAAAAAAAAATTTTTTTTTTTTTAAATGAGCATCATTATCATGGAAGCATGTCCTCTGGAATGGTGGCCGAAGTATGAAGGGTCATATGAATGTGTAGCATATCTGGCATGTAAATACCTTGCAACGCTGGCTACAAAAGTGCCATGTGAATGCCTGTTCTCAATTTCAGGTGACATTGTAAATACGAAGCAGGCAGCAGGATATCCCGTCAATGTAAACAAACTTATTTGTCTTAGCGATTGGCTGAACAAGTAGTAGGACTGAGTGGACTTGTAGGCTCTAAAGAAGGGGTCGGCAACCTTTCAGAAGTGGTGTACCGAGTCTTCATTTAATCACTCTAATTTAAGGTTTCGCGTGCCAGTAATACATTTTAACGTTTTTAGAAGGTCTCTTTCTATAAGTCTATAATATATAACTAAACTATTGTTGTATGTAAAGTAAATAAGGTTTTTAAAATGTTTAAGAAGCTTCATTTAAAATTAAATTAAAATGCAGAGCCCCCCCAGACCGGTGGCTAAGACCCGGGCAGTGTGAGTGCCAATGAAAATCAGCTTGCATGCCACCTTTGGCACGCGTGCCATAGTTTGCCTACCTCTGCTCTAAAGTTTTACACTGTTTTTTGTTTTTGAATGCAGTTATGTAACAAAAAAAAACCCTACATTTGTAAGTTACACTTTCACGATAAAGAGATTGCAGTACACTATTTGTATGAGGTGAATTGAAAAATACTATTTCTTTTGTTTCATTTTTACAGTGCAAATATTTGTAATAAAAATAATATAAAGTGAGCACTGTACACTTTGTATTCTGTGCTGTAATAGAAATCAATATATTTGAAAATGTAGAAAAAAATCAATATTAAATGTCAGTTGGTATTCTATTAACAGTGCAATTAATCAGGATTAATTTTTTTAATTGCGATTAATTTTTTTGAGTTAATCGCGTGAGTTAACTGTGATTAATCGAAAGCCCTAATTTTTATAGAGAATTAGGGTAAATTGCATTTTTATCTTCAGTAATTGTGATAGAGGAGTGTTAAAACTTGAAAAGTCAGTTTAAAATCAGAAATATGCAGTAAATTTCCTTATTTGTATGTTTATAGAATGAGGAACTCTGCTGTGACTAAGAATATTAACTCAAGTTTGAAAGTCCTAAAACGGGTTCATTCAGTGAATCTGAACTCGTATCTCAACAGAATACAATTTCTGTGGTGCAGTGCCTTTGGCAGTTGGAATAGTTCTCTTGATCCGGGAGTGAGGACCACTGGAAACACTTATGTTTGGAAAAAGTTGGGACTACATGCAACAGTATAATAGGGTTTCATGTGAGAGCAGAGATTGTACAGATTGGAAAAATAGTATCAATTACTTCTGTGCTGGAATGGATTTATGCCTAGATTCTGCTTTGCTTGCTTACTTACTGCCTTACGTATGAAGTGCTCATACCTCTGTAAGTTACCAACTAGGTAATATGCAGATTAACTTTAAACCAATATGGGAACCGGAGAGGGTGTGTATGGTGGGAATATTAGTTCACTTTATTGCTGAATAGAGTTGCTGCCTTTGGGGTTTGGTAAAGGGAGTTGATTACAATGGGCCTTATTTGGCTGATTCAAAAGGAGGCATGTTCCCATACTTCTCCAGGGATGATGATATTGAAGTGCTTGTGGATGAAACTTCTGACCCAGCTGAAGAGACTTCCCCAGTGCGAGCTGTCAGCCGGACATCCAGGTATGTAGACTGATATTCCTGTACCTTTTTAAGGTGCCGAAATGTCAAGATAACCTAAGAATGGGTAGCAGTTAATGAAAACTGTTGAAAAGCTACTTAACTCCCTTCCCACTTAGACTTAACACACATTTCTTACTACAACACAGCAGCAAGGGTGGGTGGAGTTATATGAACAGCCCCCAACTGCGAAAATAGGGATCAATGAGTGATTGACAAGTCTAAACAGAGTTTCAAATTGCATAAACCCAATGAAGAAAGTCCATTCTCAAAGTTTTATAAGGTCCTTAACCTCACCCACAGTTATATATTCCAAGCTGTTATTAATGGTGACCTGCATGTGCTGCTGTTCCTGCTCCCGTGGGGTCTTCCCTCCTGAGCTTGGGCTGAAAGGGAAAGCATCTTTTCCCAGATACCTGGTGTTGTGAACTGTATTTATTGATCTTCATTTGAACAATCTGTTCATAAGGCTTAAACCTGTCCTCCCCTCCTCTTTAGTAAGCGACTGTCCCAGCCAGCTGGAGGCCTTCTGGACTCTATCACTAATATTTTTGGGTAGGTTAGAACACCTTCACCTTTTGTTTTTATATATTGGTTTCAACGTACACCAGAATTTCAGTGATGTAAGGAATACAGATGTCATAATGTCAGCCTTTCTTCTAGTTTCTCCTTTTTTTCTTTTTGTTCTCCTCAACTTCCTGTTTCTTCCATCTTGCCGTATGCTGACCTCTGACCTTTTCCTCCAGTCTGTCTGAGTCTTCCCTTTTGGGACATCACTCTTCTGATGCTGCCAGGTGAAAACATTATCCACTCTTAGTCCAGCATGTGAATATATGACACTGAAGTAACGTGGAACCCAGCTTCACTACCCTGATTAGGCTTCAGATGTTCATAACACTGGCTAGAAACTTTCCAGTTAGCGATTCAGGCAGTCTTTCTGAGTGGAGCAGTATGTGGATTTGGTTCTTTTTAATAACAGTGCTGTAGTCAGCACCTCATTAGTTGGGATCTCTTCCCCAGTGATTGTGCTGTAGTCAGACCCTCTAAGTGGAGTCCTGCATTAGGTGGAAGGTCTTTCTGTAAGACAGTGTTGGAGTTTGAGCTTTTAAATGAGGTACTCCACTGGCTGGGATCTTCTCAGAGCCACAGTAGTGCAGTCTGAACTAGACACAATGGTGGGGTTGCAGTCTGTTCCTCTAAACTCATTGTGATGTTTACGTTGTTTGACTCCTTAGTACAAGAAAAGATGCCTGCTCAGACATTAGGCTGGCAGTGAATTTGATAGCATGGGAACAAACTAAGGTTAAGCTAGGTAAGAGAAGGTGCAGGCATGAACTGATGTAATGTAATCTGATAAAATGCAGTCCGGAAAGGAGGGGGGAAAGAATGAAGTAAGGATTTTGGCCCCGTCTCTCATCCACCCCACAGTTATAGTCGGGCTCATCCAGGTCTGTGCCTGCCATTTTGAGAGGAACTGCGTCCACTCTTCTATTTAACGTATTTTTCTTTGTGTCTCATCGCAGGAGGCGCTCTCTGTCCTCATTTCCCGCTCCCCAGGAAAATGTAGATGTGCATCCAGGTTCCAGTAAAGAAGTGAGAGTGCCCACTACTGCAGTGTATGTCTTTGTAAGTATATCCAGGAACTAGAAGTTTCTTCAGACTCTTCTTGCCTAAGAAGAGGAGAATTTGATCTTTGAGTAGCAAATGCTGTCTGGGATAATATGGCTCTGCTTGTTTAAACTGCTCCAGGTAATGTTTTAAATCTAGAAGATGACTCATGAATTGGAAAGGCAGCTAGGTCCATTTAGTCCGTATTGACTTTACTCTCAGCCTAGATATCCACCTAAAACAAAAATTCACTCAGGTGCATGCATCCTTCACACTTCTAATGTTCCTTCTTTTGTGGTCATAGTTAAGTTAACGTATGTCTTACTGAGGTCAATGATGACTAGTAAAAGGTCTGAGTGCACAAAAGAATCGCACTCCCATTACCCTTTCAGCTCCCAACAGTCTCTCTTTGTCCCATCATGCTATAGCAGTGCTGTGATTGGGGGAGAGGCTGCTGACAATTTAGGATAAGTTCAGTGCCTGTTATCCACAGTGTAAGGAAGCATGGTCCTGAATGTCATCCAACAGAACCAATTAAGGAGTTTAGGGTGTGGGGTGTCTTGATTTGTGGTGTGTGTGATCTCAAGTTTTCAAGCTGAGACCTCTTGTGTATGTTATGGAATGGTGAGGCCATTTTTGAGTCTGAGTCTGTGCAAGGCAACTCTAAATTATTCATTTTATAGCTGGAAAATATTGGAGCAAACTCTTGTGAACCAATCATTTGCTTTGAATGCTCATGTAATAGAGATGGCTGCTGCATGGCTAAAGAAATCCCAGAGATTTCCTATACTCATCTTAGTACCTTGGTAATCCACCTGAGTTTTTGTGATATTCTGATTTGTTTAATATAGGCTTTGCTAATTTTATTTAGTATGGGCCTTCTATATATGAAAGATGATCACATTTGGGCTAGATCTACTCTTCAGCAAGCTCTCTATGGGGCTACAGACTGTTTGGTGCTGATGTCGTTTGGGGTGGCTGTGATTGTTTTTTTGCTCACCCTCCCCCAAGGATGCACATGATGGAGAAGTGAACGCAGTGCAGTTCAGTCCTGCTTCCCGGTTACTAGCAACAGGAGGCATGGATCGGAGAGTTAAACTCTGGGAAGTCTTTGGAGGTAAGCTTCTGCTCTGAATTATTGTGTGAAGTGATATAGGCCAAAAAGAATACTTTGTGTCTTGTACCAAATTTAGAATCCCATACAGTTGGCGCATGCAAAATGGATTTTCTCCTAAAGTTTTAACTCAGTTTCTGGTGGTTTTAAGTTGAGCATGCTGTTCTGCAGTTCCAGACAAACGCTATATAAGTGTGAAGCAGTTATGTTAGATCAGCTGAAATACTTCTCAGAACTGGGGAGTAAAGCCAGGCTCAAGCAAACTGATCAAAAGCCAGTGCCACTATGTAATTCGTTTTTGTTTTGCTGTGGTAATTGTCCCAGTGTGTTGGCCAAATGGAACAAACACAGAAATTCAAATCTTTCCCCCAATTTATATCCGCTCTAATCCATTGCTTAATTGTTTCTTTCTGCATACAGACAGGTGCGAGCTGAAAAGTTCTCTCTCTGGCAGTAACGCAGGGATTACGAGTATCGAATTTGACAGTGCTGTGAGTATTTGTGTAATACGCATAGTCTGTGTCTGGGGAGAAATTAATTGTAGTAGCTTGTGCTCAGCTACCAGTTTCACCCATATGCTTTGAAATACATCCCCAAAGAAACAAGTTAAAATACTTGTAGGAATACCTGACAAACATTTTAAAATACTGTACAAAACTTTTTATACAGTAGGCTGAACTCTAGTTTTAAAGGGACACTTCAGTGAATTAAGCTTAACCAAATTAAGGCCACTGTATTATGAATAGGGATATGTCTACACTTAAAACACTATAGCAGCACTGCTCCAGAGCTTCAGCATAGACAGACACAACAGCAACGGGAGGGGTTCTCCCATTGCTGTAGTTAATCCACCTCCCTGGGAGGCAGTAGCTAAGTCAATGGAAGAATTGTTCTGTCTACACCATTGGATCATCATAGCTTTGTCTCGAGGTGTTGATTTTTCACACCCCTTAGAATCATAGCTGTGCCAATGTAAGTTCCCAGTGTAGACCAGGCCTAGGAATATCCACATGGGTTTAATGCAGTTTAATTTATCCACTTCAAATTCACACCTGTAGGTAATTTGGATTAACTTTCCTGAGTGTCATTCCCCTCTCCCCCACATGCCCATAAGCTCTGATCGGCACTTCACTTTTCAGAAGATACACAAAATCCAGTTATCTGGGCTATTGGGAATTTTAAAATGAGCTAGGTCTTACCCAAACTATGAATTTCCACTGCTGCCTTATAAGCTCCTTGAAACTACTAGAGTTGTATGCATCTGTTCCTGTTGTATGCACTGAGAAATTTTTATAACTTGGTGGTGAGGATTAGATGCCTCACTGAGGTCTGTGATGAATAGTAAAAGGTCTGACTGCTTGAAGGATTACACTTCCATTACCCTTTCAACTCCCAGCAATTTCTCACCCATCATACCCCAGCAATGCTGTGACTGGGGGAGTGTTTGCTGACAAATGGTGATGTGTTCAGTTCATGTTCCCTAGAGCATCACAGGCACAATTCTGATCTGCATCCAACAGAACCAGTCAAAGGAGTAAGGGGTTTTGGAGTTGCATGTCTGGGTACATGATCTCAAACTTTCTTGCTGAGACCTCTTTCACCATGTATGAACTGAGGCCAAGTTGAAACCATCTTTACAGCTTAGCATTTCTGTGCTTTCACATTACTGATACAGCTCCAAAAACATCTTACGTTGGTCTTCACCAGTTCACTAGAGTCCTCAAACTGTGGGGCACCCCTCCCCAGGGGGGTGCAGAGGAATGTCAAAGGGGGCGCAGCAGGCCAGGGAGGGAGTGCATGCCATGGCAGCCTTGCTCTGCCTCCAGTTCTGCTGCGGCCCTAGTCCCAGACGCTAAAAGTCTGGTTACCCACAGTAACTGGTCTCCACCCCTGGAGGGTGGGAAGAGCAGCAGCAGTTGCTGCTGCGGGAGTCTGGAGGAGTACTTGGGTGGCTACCGTGAGCGAGGTACCAGCAGCTTTCTCCTCCTGCCCTGAGCACAGCTCCTCCTCCCTTGCCCCACTCACACACCCCCGTCCCTGGAGTGTGGCTCCCCCTTCCCGTCATGCCCCACTAAACCCTCGCCCCAACTCCCGGGGGGTGGCGGTGTGGACTGGGCAAGGGGGGGGGGTTGTGATTGAGAAAGTTTGGGGACCACTGCACTAGAGGATTGGCTGGTGTTGCTAACCTACCTGGAGAAACTTGTTCTGATGTAAGTGGCTTGATCACACAGCAGATCTTGTCAGTTAAAACGGATGCATTCTGGGTTCCATGATATTTTTTCTGAATCAGTGAGTCACCTGAGACTGACAAGCACAAGCCTTGTCCTTGTGGGAATTTTCTTGAGAAATAACTTTGCCATACAGTGTCTTGAAATAGGAGTGTCTAGCGTGTCAGGAAGGAGCCACCACCCTCAGGATACTATATATCCATTTGTCCATCTCCTGACCAGACCTTACTTAGTTTTTACTACCTCTGTTGAGAACCCTGTAGATGGGAGTGAAATTGACAAGAATCAGGCCAGTCTAACTCTGCAGTTTGGGTCAGCTAGACCTAGCAGCAGAGGCAGATGCTGGAGCTATTTGTGGGGAAGGAGAGCCAAAAAATAGAGGCTGGATAAAGGCAGACTAGTAGAAAATCCCACCACCCTTGCAGCAGCAAGGAGGTTATGAGTAGAAATGGGCTGGAAAGAATGTCCCTCCCTTCCAGCACTGTGGCCACTATTCCTTTCATAGCCAATTGTTTTGGGAATCTGTCGACATGGCTCATGAAAAAATTACATCTTTGTTAAAAATGTCTTGAAAATCTTCTTCCTCATCCAAACTTAATTGCTGTCTGCCTCCCTCCCCCAGTTGTTTTCGTAACAGTATGGCAGTAAAGTGAACCCTGTGGATTGTTAGTTCTAATGATTATCCCATAGTATTGAGACTTTCTGGAAATACTTGCTGGGTGTAGTAGTTTACTTCTCTCAGTCACTGTGGGAAATTGCCTTAAATCCCTTCTGTTTCCACAGGGCTCTTATCTCTTAGCAGCTTCAAATGACTTCGCCAGCAGAATCTGGACTGTAGATGACTATCGATTACGGGTGAGTCTCCTGCAGAAGGCAAGCAATGTATATGCTGTTTCTGCCCAGTATTCCCATTTATGTTCTTATGAAGGACACTGGAAAATTGTGGATTCCACTGTTTTAGGATCTTGCTAAAGTTTTTTTTTTTTTTCTCTCTTGCAAAACATTAATTGAATTTTTATCCCTTTTTAATTGAAAAGAGCCTTTACAACATAACCTGATGTGCAACCCTGGCCTCTGCACGTAGCCTGACAGAAAGCTCTCCAGATAAATAGCGACCAAATATATGAACTTTCCTTCCTTCCTCTGCACATAGGCAGTATTAACTTTAGAACCATTTAAATGTTAAGAAATAGCAGTCTTAAGGACCCAAAGGCTGTAGCATGGTTCAGGGTTTTAGTTAAAACACAGTTCTGTTTCCTAGAATAGATGCATTTTAACTGAGTAGGGGCCAGCCTGGGTCCCTGGCTCAATTGTTGGAGTAGACAAGCCCTGAAGCACTAGTCTCTAATCAGGATACTTAGCAAAATACTAATATCTTGCTCATGTTCTTCCTCCACCTCTTCAGAGTGAACTCTTTGGCCCTTATCCAAGGAAGGACATGCCTGTGATCTACCTAGGCTGAAAAGAGGTCTCTTCTCTTAGCAGAGGAAACTTTCTAAGAGGCTTCACTTATTCCTGCTCCTGGACATGATCCTTGTTCTTGAATTTTTATTTTAGGAATATTTCACCAAGCATTATTTGGCATGCTGACTCTAACCCAAGATATGTTTAGTTGCTCTTACAAGCTGTTGCGTGCACAATCTGGCATGAAGCATTTTGGAATGGTCAGGCCTGTTCCCTTTCTGCCACAGAAGCTCTACAGTCATTTCTGCACTGGTTAGCCGCCCACACTCTTCAGGCATTAGAAGTGAACTTGAATCTCTCTCTCTGCCCCATGTTACATTATTTGATCTGTTGCATGAGTGATTTTTTTAGCTCTGTAGATCTTCAGCATTTCACGTATTGTTCTAAAGTACACCTACAATATAATTCACTTGATTGCTTTTAATATGAAGATATTTATCTCCAGAATGTTAGATCTTGTATGGGAAACCTTCCAGAATGTGTCAAAATCTTCTGCAAGTTTAGATTGGCCCAAAAATCCTACCATCAGTTAAAAACAAAGGTGTATAACAGTTTAATAGATCATCATTAAGGAGATGATTCTGTCATGGAAGTCATGGATTTCGTGACTTTCTGGGAACTCCGTGACTACTTCTGCGCCAGGCCTAGAGCAGGGGTTGGAGCAGCTGCAAGCCCTGACAGCACTCTGTTTGTTGTGTCCCTCCCCCCACCCCCACCCCCGAGTATTTGTAGTAAAAGTCAGGTACAGGTTGTTGGTTTCTGTGAATTTTTGTTTATTACCCATGACTTGTCCCTGACTTTTACTAAAAATACCAGTGACAGAATCTTAACCTTAATCATCATTAACTTTGTGTGAAAAGTCCCCATGCAAAATTCCCCTCAGTCTTCACAAGATCTTTCTGCTATTTTCCAGTGTGCCTAATGACTTCTGGCTTTGGGTCAGTACCATCACTGCTCACTGAGCTAATACAGTACATTGAATTCCTTGTCTGACTGGGTTTGGTGCATGGATTTACCATTCCTTGTATGTGCATTGAGGGAAGTTGAGTTGATTTAATATTAAATTCTGCATCAAGCTACCTATTTATAAACAACTATTCACTTGTTAATGGCAGTGCAGGAAGGGTGGTAATGGAATATTCTCCAAGGTTATAAAGATCCTCTCTATCCATTAAATTGTGGTATCCAGAGATTAACTGTCATGTTGCAACCATTGAGATATTCCATGATCTTTGGGTTTTAGTGCTGTGCAATAATTTTTCAGTTCCTCAGACTCTGCTCCTGTTTCATTTCCATTTTTAAGTCTTCTAGTGGTTCTGTAGTCCATGTAGCAGTGTGCAAGTTAGAAGTTCAGTGACTAACAGTAGAAGGTTTGATTTTTGGCAAGGATTGCTCTCTGATCACTTTCCCTGTTTCCGGCAGCCTATTCCCTCATGCTACATTAGTTCTGTGATTGGCAAATAAGTATCTAATAATTTGTGATAATTGTATTTCATGTTCCAACGTGCCATGACTGTAGTTGGCATCAGACAGAAACAGTCATGGGAATCTGCTGAGGGGAGCAACTCTGAATCTCTGGAGATCTCAGGCTTTCAAGCTGAGACTTCAGAGTTAACACTGGATCCCTTTTTGCTGTACTTGACACCATCATTCCAACTCTTACTATGCTTTAGTCCATACCCTGGTCTTTCCTTTAAGACTTTTGTAGTTACCATCTTTCCAGCCGAGGTTACTAGGGGTGGTAGAAAAGAGTCATAGATTTCAAAAGAACTACTCCTTAACTAGCCAAAGGAGTTGCAAATGAGGGAGAGAATATCTCCTAACCAGAAGCTGAGTATGCTGCCTCTGCAGTACTCTCGGCACTTGCTGACTCACGGAGAAGCAGACTGGGAATCAAAGCTATATTCTGTTTAACCAGAATGGAAAGGTGGGCTCTTTTTTGTGATCCATGCCTCTAGTCACACATTAGACTAAGGTGGGAGGCTTTGAATCAAAGACTTTGTCCCCATTAAGCTGCTGAATGGCAAAATCAGAGCCATGAGGACAGGAAGCAATTGTAGCTGAAACTGTCATTTACACCATGTAAATCTTCTCTCCCCAGCACACACTGACAGGCCACAGTGGGAAGGTGCTGTCAGCCAAGTTCTTGCTGGATAATGCACGCATCGTGTCAGGGAGTCATGACCGGACACTCAAGCTCTGGGACCTGCGCAGCAAAGTTTGTAAGGAAACCATTTCCACCCCAGCACCAACGCCCTTTTGTCTTTTGCACACCTCTTAGGCTAGGTCTACACTACCCGCCTGAATCGGCGGGTAGAAATCGATCTCTCGGGGATCGAATTATTGCGTCTTGTCGGGACGCGACAATCGATCGCCGAATCGACGCTCTTACTCCACCAGCGGAGGTGGGAGTAAGCGCCGTCGACGGGGAGCCGCGGAGATCGATTTTGCCACCGTCCTCACAGCGGGGTAAGTCGGCTCCGATAGGTCGAATTCAGCTATGCTATTCGCATAGCTGAATTTGCGTATCCTAAATCGACACCCCCCCCCACCCCCACCCCCCCGTAGTGAAGACCTGCCTTCATTCTCTTTCGTGGTTGTCCAAAAAGCAGAAAATTGCAGCCATGCTGCTTTTTGATGATATTCTGATCTTCGGTATTGCAAGCTAAGCAGAGTCTGGCCTGGCTGTTACCTGGATGGGAAACCTAAGAAAAGACCATATGCTACAGTGAAAAGCATTGGTGATTGAGTGGGCAACTGCACTCTGTAGACCCTCTTGTCCATTAAACTGTAGAGTGGGTTTCTTATTCTTCTGTAGAAACTTGGAGGCAGGTCAGACCTTACAACCCTGGGCTGGTCTTAAGACCCCTCTTGAAAACCCTACCCACAGTTTCCTGCCTCCAAGTGAAGCAAATGGCAGGATTCAGTTTTTCATAGCAGAAACATTTGTCTTAAAATAGGTTCCTGGTTTCTGTAGTACAACTTAGCACAGGGACAGCCTTTCTCCCCCAGTGTCCTACACCCTTGTTTATGTATAAAGAAGAGCATGTCATGTTCATCTGTGACTTGTTTGACTAATTATGAAGTGGTGGTAAAACAACTGTCTTTGTACAGTTGTAGGGATGTTGGGCATGGTGGTCAAGTGGTTCAGAGGAATAATGTGCAGTTGGGGATTTTGGATCCTCAGTAATTAGTTTCTTCTAAGACAAGGCTCACCTATTCCTACCCCCCGTGACTCCAAACTCCTCCCAGGGCAGAAGTTTCAATGCAGCTACAGAATTTTTATGTTTGCTGTTCAGTGACTTTTAAATACTGCTATCAACTTGTACAGCACAATGGGAAGGAGACTGTGTTGTTAGTGACTTATCCCACCTCCCCCTTTTTTCTTTTCTTTTTCTTTTCTTTTTCTTTTCTTTTTCTTTTCTTTTCTTTTCTTTTCTTTTCTTTTCAAGGTATAAAAACAGTATTTGCAGGATCAAGCTGCAATGATATAGTGTGCACAGAGCAGTGTGTGATGAGTGGACATTTTGACAAGAAGATTCGCTTCTGGGACATCAGGTAAAACTATCCTCTGACACGGGTTAGATTCTCTAGCAATTATTTAATGCTAAAGAACATAAGATGAATCTGTGAATTGTGACCCTCCCATTCTTTGAGTTCTCCATTGCTTGGAGTATTTGTTACAGGAATATGAGGAAGTCACCAAGGATAAATAATCTTTTTGCACATGATAGAACTGCTGTTTTGATCTCTGAGCTATTAGTAGCATGTTGCGTTATATATTGACAGCAGATTAGCCCCTGAGTAAGGAAATATCTTGCATTGTTCTCTCTCTCTCTCTCGCTAGTTTTAAGTATCCCTAGCTGGTTCTGAAGGAAGTTCTGAACAGTCCTTGGTTAGTGACAAAATATCCACAATGTGACACTTTAGTTAGGAAATAAGAAAAATGTGGAAGTGGATAATGAACAAATAGTGGATACCTATTCTCCTATCCCCATGCACCGGGACAAGTCTCGGGATACAGATTTTCATGTTCATGTGACATGATCTACTCCTAAGGGAATTCTGTGCTTAAAAAATAAAAAATCTGCATATTTTATTTGTCAATAAATAAATGTGAAGGCAGTGGGGAGCACAGGCTGCACGGAGGTGAGAGATCACCCTGCTCTGAGTACCCGAAATGATGCGCCTGTGCTGCTGGGGAGGAGCACTTGACCCCTCTTGCAGTTTCCTTTTGCTTCCCCATCAGAGTCATTTTTCTGCGGGGAAGCAAAGAAATCTGCGGGGGATGGGAATTCTGGTCACACGTAGTGGCACAGTATTCCTCCAGGAGTAAGGATCCTTGATATTCAGTTACCCATGCTGTTTTCTGTCTTCAGGACTGAGAGCATAGTGCAGGAGCTGGAACTGTTTGGGAGGATCACTGCTTTAGACCTGAACCCAGAGAGAACAGAGCTCTTGACCTGTTCCCGAGATGATCTGCTAAAGATCATTGATTTGCGAGTCAATGCTGTCAAACAAACTTTCAGGTGAGTGTGATCCCAGTAAGGTATATGGCAGGTGACTGGATTCTGTGGCATAATTGTAACTTTGGTGTTACCCTTGTCTTTTGTGAATGAAACCTTCCTATTAGTCCCTCAATGGGGAGGTGAAAGCCTTTGGAGCCATGTCTCTGATGATGTAGTTTGCACATTATCCATGGTTTGACAACAAAGATCTATTTTGTCAAGATTTTGCCTCCACCTCTTTGAAGGAGACAGCTTGTCCCCCTCACTAGGGAGAAAAATCCTACAAATTAGGTTGGAAAGAGAGAATGTAAAACAGAATGTAGAATTTATCCCAGTCAATGCAATAATCTTCATTTAGTCCTTGAGGAGGAACTGGCTTTCCCGAGATTCATATTAGAGGAACGTAACAACTACCTGATTCCAACTTGTTTCAGTGCCCAGGGATTCAAATGCGGATCTGACTGGACCAGAGTCGTGTTCAGGTAAGAGGCCGAACTGAGGAGACTGGAGTTTGGGATGCAGGAGTGGGGGGCCAGCTATTTGGTTTACTGCAAATTCTGCAGTGACATTTGAGGGAAAAGTTCCAAACCACCATATGCTGTCAAGCTAATTACCAGTCCGCAGCATGCATTGATTGCTTCTTGATCACTTGTGCTACAACTCTAAGCTCCACATTTTGCAAGCAGTAGGGTAGCCATTAACACTAGTCGTAAGACAAAAGGGGACACTTAGCACTGGGCAGTCAGCAAAACTGTTTTCAGACTTGGGTATCTATAATTAGACACCAAAAGAGCTCCCCATTTGTAAAAATCAGGAAAAAGGAAACAGGCAGTGTTCCATATAGTTTGCACCCTATATTAAAACAAAGTTAATGTTGGAAAGTCAAGTCTTGAAAAGCAAGAAAATGTCAGAATTAAGATTGTCCATGGAGCCTTTATTTGGCCTCCAGTTCATATTTGTTATGATATCTTATTACAGCCTCCTTCCTCCTTGGGCTTGTCATCCAATCTATCTCCTCCTCTTCCTCCCCACCCCCTCTTAGGCCCCATATGCCAATCTCCTGGCTCAGCCAGTTCTTCGTTCTCCCTTCTGCTTTTGAGTCAGGCTACTTCCACCTCCACACTGCCTGGACGCCACCAGCAAGGGCATTGAGAGCAAAAGAGAGATAGTCACCTGGCTGTCAGTTCTGGTGCCCAATGTCATAGCAGCCGGGAATAGCAATTGCAGGGAATTCCTGCTCAGCCCCTGTGACCCTGGGCTGGAACATTCCACTATGGATGGAATCTTCAGAGAATTTAGCTGGCAAGTTCTAACAAGTATCTACTGAGCATCTGTCAACTGCAGTTTTTCAGAGGCTTTAATTTGTCCAAATCTGGGTAGCTTTTCATGGGAACAAGAAAAGGCACATCGCTGAAACCAGGGTGACAACCCTTCCCCTACACTATATGTCCTTATTCCAAAGCGTGCTGGTGATAGAGCTTCTCAATGAAATGTAAGAATTGTTTTAATATGGAAACATTTTTCTAATATCCTTCTCAAACGATTGAACCATTTTTGCCAAAATTCAGGTAAAAATAGTCAGTCTGGGACAGACACCTGACAAGGAAAACTTCAGCCCAAATGGTTAATGTTTTGATAAAGTTATAAGTAAATGAAAACCGGGTCTTTTAACAGGAATTGTTGGGGAGCCTTAAGTATAGAAGGTGCTACCCGTTCTGCTGATTTTAAAAAATCACGTTTAGGATTTTTAAATATGACTGACAGGGATTAAATATAAAACTAAAATAGAAATGTTAATATCTAAACAATGGAACAGGTAAGGGTTTTAAGGGTTAAATACTTAAAAAGCTAGGGCTAAATTTAGTGTGTATAGACATGGCTTATCCTAGCCATTTTGCTTAGGTTTAGGCTTCAACCTTCCCCATCGCCTCCTTTTTTTTCCCTTGTAGGTTACAAGCTTTTTGGGTCAGGAACTGTTTTATGTGTTTAAGGTGCCTACCACAAAGGAGCCCTATTTCTCTTCAGGGCCTTTGGCTGCTATTATGATGGACTTTTTTAGGTGCCTAATATTAGGAATCGAATAGAATAATATACCTAGCTTATATAGCACATTTTATTCATTGATCTCAAAGTGCTTTACAAAGGAGGTAAGCATCGTTATCCCCATCTGAGGCACAGAAGTGAAGTGACTTGCCAAGGTCACCCTTTTGGCCTAAGTAGATTTCACAAGAACCAATGTCTATCTTTTAAATGCCAGCCACCTGACTGTTACACCATCACGTGATATGGAAACTTCTTGATCTTGCTAATCAGTGTTAATAAGCGCTGGTGACCACTAATGGCAGTTTGCTTGTTTTGGAAACACTAAAGATTAGCGTGGGTACAAAAGCTGCTAACTTCAAAATAAATTTTTTTCTATTCTGCATCTAATATGTGTTTCAATAGCCCTGACGGTAGCTACGTGGCAGGTGGTTCAGCTGATGGGGTCCTGTACATCTGGAATGTGCTCACTGGGAAAGTGGAGAGAACTCTTGCAAAGCATCACAGGTGAGACAGGAAGCTCGCGGACTAAACTGGTGCAGGGTCTGAGCTGTGGCTCACATAGGATCTATGGTGAGGAGAGGTGGGATTGCAAATGTGGAGTTCCATTCCCATACCCGTGTGCATGGGTTATTTATATGCAGCTTCTCTGTGGATTCATAGCAATAACCGGTAAAGTGGGAATTAAGGCTATGAAATTTGTGCTTTGTTGTCGGATTGCTTATTCACAATCAGGGCATTAAATATAATATACTCCAAATATCCCTGGGAGGCTGTTACAAATGCAGGTATCATAAATAAGATCTGAGAATGAATAAGATTTGGAAATTATGGAGTTTAATTCCTCCTGTCCTAAATACTGCTGTGAAATTAGAATCTCTTCTAAATTGACACCTGACTTCCTTTCAGCTCCTCTATCAATGCAGTGGCATGGTCACCAGCCGGTGCCCATGTGGTCAGTGTGGACAAAGGAAACAAGGCTGTCCTGTGGTCTGAATTTTGATTGGAAGGAGATGAAAGACAGTTTCAAATGTCTCTCACTGGGAGGATGCCGGTCCAGGGCTGGACAGAATGGAGGCCCAAGCCTTGATTCATCCTTCATGCATTTGGGCTTCATCCAATGGGCTTTGCTTCTCAGAGGAGAGCTCTAATGAGGCAATCAAGGACGAGGAGCTGGAGGCGCAGAGCCCTTTACTGCCTATAAGCATGTTGCTGGCCCTCAGGCTCAGCAAAGGGTCAGCTGATTTGGATGGCGAATACTACTAGTCATGCCTTGACATGCAGTTTCTATGCACTGGATGGAGCTGAAGGTACTAGCCAGATTCCCTCACCGGACAGCTGTGCCAAATACCCTATTATACAAATGTACCTACAGCACTTCTGACTTGGACGTGTTGGAAAGACATTTACCATGTATTCTGACCTAATGCATGTCCTGTTTCCTGTGTTCTGTTCCCATGGAGTAGCTTAAGCATGGGGTGAGGGCATTCTGAAACATGGACAGAGTGGGTCCTAGTCAAGTCTATAAAGTGATGGAACAGCTGTAAACTAATTTAAATGTTTCTGTTGCTCTGGCAGTTTTGCCCCCTGTGTTGTTGGCTGAGTTTGGGACTTCTCCAATTCTGACATGGTCTCTCTGGCAGTTTGTAATCTGAGAACTCCCTGCATCATTTTGATCTGTATTTCAGGGAACTGTCCATTCTTCAGGGATGATGCATCTTTGTTAAAACTCCCTCCAATAGCTCCTGTAGCAGAAGTACCAAAAACTGGGGAAAGGAGAATTTTAATTCGAACCAATATATTTCCTTTTTGTTGGCGCGAGGGGAAGGGGAGGGGAGAGGGAAGGTGTAACATCTGCAGTGGGAATGATGGTGCTGCTGTGATGAGGAATGTATCCATACCAAGACTTCCAGTACCAGAAAATAAATGTATAGTCTCTTCTGCTGTCCATCCGTCCTTCTCTGTTGGAGGCTGTTGGTGGAGCACGGGGGAGCAATGGGATTCAATCCTGAATGTAATGCTCTAATGCTGGCAATCCCTGGCCACTTGCCCCCTTTCTGAGCACATGTGCAATATTCTTCTTTGTGCTTGAACCCTTCCTGTGCCATCGAACAGGGTTTACACCCTGTATCCTCAGGCATCTAAATATGTGAGGTGGTTGGAGGAGAACTAACTATGATGTTTTGTAACTTTTATCCAGCCAAACTTTTCCACCTCAGATGGGCCTCAAGATAAGCCACCAGCGTTCTGTCGCCTTTTTATTTGCACTTTATTTTGCTTCCTTCCTGAGCTTGTTTTCTAAGGAAGTGTTTGATGGATTAGGAAAGAGGGTTGTTCCTAGGACAGAGGTCTTTCTCTAACCCAGCCTTTCTTTCAGACAACTTCTGCAGAGGGGAGTTGAGAGTATACAGGGCAAAACTTTTATTTATTCAGCTGCCCACCAGAACTTGATTGTAAATAAACCTGTGTTCTGCTTTTAAAACCCACAAAGTTTCTCCTCATTTGTTTGTGTTTCTTCTTGTCCTGAAAGAAAGGGAAACTGATATCAAGTTTCTTCTCTCCCCTCTTTGCCATTTCAATGGACTAATGTTAGGTTTGGGTCTGGTGGTGGTGGGGTACTTGACAGCATAGTTACCGACTCACAGGTGCTCTGGGGCTCAAGCACTCATGAGGAAAAAAATAGGGCGTGTTCAGCAACCACCAGTCACAGCTGTTGGGCAGGACCTCAGGAGGGGGGCTGGAGGGGATGGGTGGAAAGAGGTGGAGCGAGGGGGAGGGGCGCCTTGGGGAAGGGGTTGGGACCTTGGGGCGGAGTGGGGGTGGAGCACCCACCAGGAAAAAAGTCAGTGCCTGTGTTTGACGGATATGTCCAGTGGGTATCCATTGTGCTAGAGCCAAATTTACCTTGTCTCGTATCAAGAATGTGGTCATGAAACTGAAGTTAAAGGAGCCAGTATCACATTGTTTAAAGCTTCTAGCATTGGGGACTCTGGCCCACGTTTTGAGACTTGAAAGGTTGATGTATTCTTGGGTGTGTGGGATGAATTATTGAATTCAAGAACTCCCCATAAATTACTAGTTTCTCAGTCACTTTTGGCCGTGAAATGTCTGTTCCTCCCTCATTGCTTGGACTGTTACATTGCCTCTCAGTCTCCCAACACGATCTTAAAAATGTGGTATAAAGACTGTCTATACACCGAACACTAAAATAACTCCTTGTGCCAACACTGGAGTAATGGAGCAAAGCCTTCACCTCCTTTGGTTATATTGGACAAACTATTTGTACAGTTAAGAAGCTTCCTTGGCCAATCACCTCCTGTTTTGGTGTGGCAGAAACTCAGCTGATGGTCCTGACTCCCAAAGGCAGAGCAAAGATGACAAAAACAGAGTTGCAGTTCTACTGACAATTAAGTTAAAAGCCCCTTTGGATTTTAGAGGCACATTTTTCTTTCAGTCTGTTGTCTGCTCCCTGAAGCTTCCTGCAGTAAAGTGTGCATCTCCAGGTCCTTCTAAGATGGCACCTGCCCAGTGCCCTGCTGACCTCAGGGGTATTGCAGATAAAGCAGATCGCTAAGTGATGAGTCAGTGGGATGAAAGATTACCAGGGGATTAACTCTACCCTTTAAGAATTGCAGGCTGTGGTGGGGAGGATCAGGAAGGGTTTAAGAGGTTATAATTTAAATTGGCATATTTGTATTTTTATACAACATAAACAGTAATCTGGGTTTGAGGTTCTAATGCCAGAAAATGTTTTGCTTGTTGAATACTACTAAGCAAATTAACATTGAACCCGTATAAAAACAAGAGGTAAGAATAGGTCAAAACGTCTAAAAATATACGTTGTTTATGAGAAAGGTATGTATCTGTAAATCAAGTGACCAACTCCACTCTTCTGCATTCTCCCGTATGTGCAAGTCCTGTTTAACTAGTTGAGGTCGTACCTCTGCTTTCTATATAGTGTGCACTCAGCTATCTTCCAAACAACTGCTATTTCCAAAGAAGCCAAGAATTCTAGTCCAGTGAAGCAGAAATGACAGAGACAGTGACTGCTAATAGCCTTTCGCGTCAGCTATACTTTCAGTTAACTCAGGGACAGAGAATTTTGCCTTGCTTTTCATTTTAGGGGGATCTTAGTGGATTTTTCACTATTCTTACTACAGTGGCTTTAAAGAGCAGGATATAGTGGGGTCCACTTTGCTTTCTTGGAGAAATTTGTCATCTTCCAATTCAGACTCTGAAGACCAGGGAGGAGCCATTTCACATTGCTCTGACAAGGCAGCTGCAGCTTTCTGGAGTCCTTTTGGAGGCTTAATGTCCTTACTCTTACCTCTCTATTTGGGAGTCAGGTGAGTCTGTGTCCAAGGGGAAACTGACTATGGACCCAGTCGGGAAAGGAAAAATGTATATGAAATGGGAACTGCCATCAACAAAGAACAACTCCCCTAGCCTGTATCCCATTGCTGTAATGCCATGCTAGAAGAGGCAGCGTCTTCAGTAGAAGTAACTGGGAGCGGGGGAGGTGAAGAGAAGCTTGAGTGGCAGAGTTGCTGGAAAGTGGGGGAAATTGGGTCCTCCTGTCACCGGGATTAGTCGATACCTCTGCTTCCCTTGCCTTGATCATCCTCTTTAGCAAGAAGCAGAGGAGCCTGATGGGGTTCTGTAGGATTCTTGTTCTGCCTCCTTGCCAGGGGGGGATGACTGAGCTCCATGGTGCCCTCTTCCCCAAGAGACTTGTGCTGGAGGCAGCAGAGGAGAAAGGGAGAGAACAAAGTGAAGTACTTGCTGTTGAGAGTTGCCTGGTTCTCTGCCTCTGTTCTAGAAGGTGAGTGTGTCTTCCCAGAGGTTCTGACTGCAGACTAGTGTTGCACTCCACCTGAAATGAGCCCACAGGCTCTGAGAAACACTGCAGGAACAGAGCCACCAGCGATCCCCATCTGGTTGAATAGGCTTTTCTGGAGGGTAGTTGCCTCCGCAGCTCAAGCTTGAGTGAAATATGTCTGCTCTGGCAAGGGCAAAGTGTCCAGCTTTAAACAGAAACTAATAGCAGAATAGCTGCATGCCACATACCACACCACTGGAAATAAACAGCCGTCTCTTCCTTAATGGCACAGTTATGGGAGATTGTCTCCCTGGAATAGCTCTCTTCTCTCTTCAGACATACATGCTCCTAGAAGTATGGGGGAAGGGTGGAACCACCTCAGAGCTGTTCCTAAAATGTCCATCATTTCAGTAGTGCTCAGAGTCCTCATTCAGCATCAGGGCCTTTTGCTAGCTACTCCACAAAAATAAATGAAGGCCCTATCTCTGTTGTGAAGGGCTGGTGATCATTTCTCCCCCCCCACTCCCCACAGTGCTGACCAGGGAAGCTCTCAACAAGAGTAGCTTGCTCCCAGCCTGTTCTGTGACAGAGTGGTGAGTGCTAGACCTGGGGGAACACCTCTGGTCTCTGCCCTATAAATGTTTGCTCAAATAAAAATGGAATTGGCTTCACCTGGGAGGGCGGGGCGGGGGGAAGGTACATTTTTACTTTCCCCAAATATTCTCATCAAGTTCTTATGGACAGGAGGGGTGGGATTTTTCAAAAGCATTTAAAGGATTTAGTGGCATAGTCCCATGTAAACCTCTTGGGCATTTGTGAAAATCCCACCTGCGGATGTTTGCAGCAGCTACTAACTAAGCAAATGTGGGTGAATAGTCACAAAAGCAAACTTTCACCTTTTGAGTGGTTACTGGAACGCGGATTGCAAGAGTTTAATTCAGTTGGGGAATGGAAAGAATACCAGGGGATCTCTCCAGTGAAAACTAACATGTCCCACCAACGTATCAAACACAGCTGCTTTTGAAATGTTTACAAGCCACGAATTACCCACAAATTATTGTGTGAACAAAATCAAATTGCAATTCAAGAAAAGCAAAAGCTATTTTCAGACCATTCATGAGCGGAAAGAAGCTAAATTGATCAAATTGCTCGTCTCTATTGTACATCTTTAAACATGTATTGAGTTTGTGTAATTTCCTTTTATAAACTAATTGAAGAAAACAGTGGGCGGGCCACCAACATAAACTATTTGTACAATGTGCCCGAGGGTGTCAGTGGCACAACAATAGATAAGCTTTGTGTCAACTCTACAGTTTATTGATTGTGGAAATAACATATCTATCTATTGCAACTCTTAGAATAGCCTGTATTTATAGAGACTTGTTCTAATGCTTGCAAGTTCAACGTCTCACAAATAGTTCTTTGTTTAGCTCCTTATTAGGCTGCATGATTTGCAGCCCCAATAGAAAAAGAGATGGAGAAAGAGCTTTAGAATAAAGCTGCTTTCCATAACCCTCCTGCTCCATATAAATCTGTACTGTCTTTACACCCGAGGAATCTGGGAGGACGGCACTGTAGAATCTTGAAGATCTGGGGTCTCTTAAGTAATACACAGCACTGCTAACCTAGCAGATCTGTTCTTAATCCAGGTACAATATTTGCTGCTTGAAGGGGATTAGTTCTTGGAAATGTGGGCAGTAAGAACTAGAAACCCATTTTCAATTCGGGCTACAAATTGCCCTCCTTTTTCACCAGCAGGCTAGTGAGTCTCTCCCACAGACAGGGGAACATCTGCAGGACCTGTCTGTCTGGAAAATTCACCTTTGTTCAGTGGTTTAAGAGGAGTTCTCATCTTATTGCTCAGGGAACTTTCTCCTCTGGTGGCTGCTGTGGAATTTGGAGCACTGCAAGGTATTTAAAGATACTGCTATTTCTTTCCCTAGTTTCCTCTTTCTCAAATCCTGTAGCTCACGTGTTCCACCAAGGAATTCCATACTGGTCTTGGAAAAGGTGCTCCAACTTTGGCAAAGGGGGGGAATGTTTTCAGTTTTCTCTTTAATCCTGGCCTTTCAAAATACTTCCTTCAGTGAACTGATTCCAAAGGTGAAGTGAAGGACCAGCTTTTTCTAGGAGGGAGTCAGAAACTAATTTCTGAGTGTCTGTGTTGTGCAAGTTCCTAATAAATGTCACGCCGTATTGTAAAGGTTCATAGGGTAACATAAGAAGCAGAAGTGGTTGAAAAATAGATGAAATCAGTAAGCATTTTCATTGTCTTCTGTAATGCTTAGTTTAATTTTCACATGGATATTTTTGAAACTGAACTTTTTGAGGAGTTGAAAGCCTTAAATTTTTGAAATAATCCTATCACGTGACTAAGCTGATCAATCAAAATAGGCAATGCCGAAAAAGGGAAACTGAACCCAACCATGCACCCACAGAACAATCAAAAGACTAAATAGTTTTGCTTTGAATTTTCTAACAAACTTTTGAAAAATGGAAACTTTGTTTTTGTTTTTAAATTCCAGTCGGTTAAAAGGTCAAATTAAAAAAAAAAAATCTCATCAGGTGTTTGGCCTGCTTCTGCTTGCACTTATTCATCTTACTTTCCCGCCCCCCACCCCCCACCAACCCAAAGCCATCTGAGAGAATTTAGCTTCGTAACTCCCATTGGTAGCTTGAAAATTGAACTTTGCATTAACTTTGGAAGCTTAAATGAAAAAGGAAAGGGTAATATAAAAGGAAACCATCCCCCCCCAGCACCAGAGTTGACTTGAGTTTTCAGAGGGAATAGTCTGTTTTAATGCACTACATTGGTTGGTTAAGATTTTTGGATCCTATTCAACGTAACTATAATCTCATCATCTCTTCTTGACACTTGGCCAAGGATCTCTTGCTGCAGGAAGGCTTTGTTCTTTCCCGGTCTCCCACCCATCCGTGGAAATGAGCTGTGCTGAGTCTCATAAGGTGGCTACTCTTTCCTCAATTTCTCTGAAGAACACCAGTCCCCCTCAATCACATGTTGTCTACAAGAAGATGTCCCGTGATAAGGCTGTAAGTAGCACAGTAATTGGCATACATACCCACCAGTTTGAGGCATGGGGGCACAGGGCCACGGCCTCACTTACCTGGGGATTTATTTATGGGACACTTGTCTTCACCCCACTTCTTTTGAAAATAATTTGATTTATACTCAGCCAACTGCTAGGGCGTGGTGTTATGTTAGAGAATTGATAAAGTGGACTACTTGCATGTTAACATAATGACCAGTCTTAGATAGGATGGCAACGCTTCTCCCCATCACCTCATTGGATGTGTCTCTGTTGGCTGCCCAGATGTCTAAATCAAGGCTGACTCGCCGTCTTTCCAATTCGAGGCAAAAGTCCTTCACTGTACAGCTCCTGTGCCGCAGACACAAGGAATTGTGTGGTGCTTTTGGAGTTCAGCCCTGCAACATGCTGAGCCCTCTACCCTGATCCAGTTAAATACTGAAGCTCATGAATAGTCCTGATGATTTCATTGGGAACTACTCATGTGCTTAACATTTAAGCATATGCTTTAAAAAGTTATTTTGCTCAATTGGGCTAGAGTGCTCAGCTCTTGGCAGGATTGATGCCCTGGCTTGTCTTGCCCCATCTGCATTGCCTCCTTCCTACAGGTGACTATCTATCTGGGAAAACGAGACTTCATTGACCACATAGATGGGGTGGAACCTGTAGGTAAGTCCAGACACAAGCTCTTCTTACAGGTTTCTTTGACTTAATAAACCCCAATTATTTTTTTCTTCATACTGCTTAATATTTACTCTTTTCTATTTCTTTCTGTCTAGATGGTGTCTTGTTAGTGGATCCCGAGATCGTCAAGGGAAAGAAGGGTTTGATGTTTTAAATGATTTCAGAGATTGCTAGCTCTTCAGTGATCTCTCACTGCAAAGCAAGGATCTCTCCTGCTTTCAGGGCTCTAGTTGTCTTATGCAAAATTAACCCCATCCTGGTGAGAGAACCTCTGGTTGTTGGACATGCTGTTTGAATATGGTCCAAGGCTTCAGTCTCGTTACAAAACAAACTTAAGATCTTCACTATATTATGAATTGGAACCGAGGCGGGGGGCGGGGAGACGCGGAGGGGAGATACAACACTGTTGTAACTGTCTTCCTGGACTTCGTAATTGTAACACAGATGGTCTCTAAGTCTCAGAATCTCTGAATTGGCTGCACACTAAATGTGTAATTTACTGTGTATGTTCTTTCCAGTGTATGTGACTCTGACTTGTGCTTTCCGGTATGGCCAAGAAGACATTGATGTGATGGGCCTGACCTTCCGAAAGGATCTTTTTTTCTCTAGGATACAGTTGTACCCACCAGTGGAAAAACGGGAATCTCTCTCCCAATTGCAGGAATGTCTGATGAAGAAGCTGGGGAACAATGCTTACCCCTTTGTTTTAACAGTAAGTCCCTCATATGAGCCTCTGACCCACTTCTCCTTGACCCTTATTATCCAGCCTGTCAGCACTCCATGATAATCTGAAGAGGAGATTAATAATTAATCCAATGTTACCTAAAACTCTAACCTTGAGTCAGAGGTTAGATGGCACCATTATTTACCACCCCAAGTGTGCTAGGGATTTAACAAACTGGAGGGGTCCTGACTGCGCACAGAAAAATTCCTTATAAAGGGAACCATAACGATTTTATGACAACAGACGCCCTTAATGTTTCCACCTCTGTCTCTCGCACCCCTATTGCCAGAGTATTTGCTTATACTACTGCCTTGTGTACTCATGAGGCTGTCTATGCCTTGAGTTGTGGAATTGATTTGCAAAAAAAATCTACATTTTGCTGGAATAATTATTAAAATGAGTTAATACAATTATTGCTTATATTTGGGTAGCACCCAAAAGCCCAACTGGGTTTAGTGGCCTCCTAATGCTTGGCATTGTATAAGCACAGATCAGAGACAGCCCCTGGGGCTTACAGTCTAAAGACACACATGGCCAAGAGTAGGGGATGTGGATACAACACAGAAGCAAATGAATCTTGTGGCAAATTGGCCCTGCTTTATTAGTTACATTTATTGCAAATATTTTACTGGGGTGGGATCTGAGAAAGGAAAGAAGGGAAGTTACCGCTTGATACCTGCGTGGCTATGGGCAGCAGGCTGGATTTTGTATGTTCTGCAGCAGACCTGCATCTTGAGGGGTATGAAAGAAGGTAAGGAAGTGGCTGCACTGATTTTAGTGGGGAGCTTTTCCTGTGCATAAGGGGCAGCATATGAAATAGGATGAGATGTTCAAAGAAGTTGGCTGGTGGAGGAAAAGGCTGGGAATGCTTAGAGAGGGAGGGCAAGGGTTGGCAGTGCGATAGGTTTCTAGTTCCGTGAAGTGGAGTCAGACTGAGTTATGAAGAAGTTTGTATTTGATGTGGAGGCGGGCCTCGGAAGGCTGATGTGGTCAGAGCGACTAGCCAAGAAGGCGACCTTAGCAGCAGCATTCTGAATAGAGTTGAGGGGAGCAGAGGGGCAGTAATCCATGCCAGAAAGGAGAAGGCTGCAGTAGTCAGGATGTGAAGTGATGCGGGCTTCGACAAGAGTTTTGGCTGTGTGGACAAGAGAAGGGGCTGGAGTTTGGAGATGCTGTGTGGAGAAAGCAGTTGGATTTAGAGATGGCCTGAATGTCGCTCCGGTGAGAGAGCAGAGTCGAAGGTGACACCCAGGTTACAGGCCTCAGTGGCAGTCAGATACTTAACCTGGCTGCTACCACTTCCGTGGCCATTTTTCAGGATGCCCAGCTCCTTCCCTCTGCCCAGTCTGTTGGCACCTCTACCCCAGCCCTTGCCCTTCCACCTGCTATCTCCCAAAACACCGTTGCTAGCCTGCTCCCAAGCTTCCTCATGCACGTCTGGCCCAGAGACTCATGAAGTCCCCTCAAAATGTTGCTGTGCAAATCTTTTAGCAGCCTGTCTAGATGCTTATACTGGCGCCTGTCACTGTATCATCAGAACATCTTAGATACCACTTTGATAGGTGCTATAGAAAACACTAACATGAGTAAATCTACAGCCAGTATGTCTGCTTCCTCTTCCTGCCCCCGAGACATCCCATCCCCTTCACTCTGCCTTAGAGACCATAGTATCTAGTAGGATCCAGATTTAGAATCTGCCATATACTAATACTGTAGCAAATAGGCTTTCAATTGACTCTGCAAAGTCTAGGCTTGTGACATGTCTCCTAACCATTCAGGTACAAAATGGAGACCTCCACCAAGCTCAGACTGTTGGGATTTCTAGATTGGTAGAACTCCACAAGTCTCTCTTCCAGGTCATGTCATTCCAGCGGGGCAGAGCTGGAGCCTTTGATCACAAGCTCACATCCTGCCCAGGCCAGAAGCGACCAAGTGCTCTTTCTCTGCTGACTGTTCTAGTGATCTCAGTCCAGTTCCTCATGGACAGATATCCTCAAACACGATCCCTGGCCTCGTTAGTTCAGTCTCTGTGCCCATGTGACCCTTACGTGAATCGACTATCTTTCAGTCACTCCTCTGAAAGGGAAGCAGAATGATCTCCTGGGTAGGGCACTGGACTGGAAGTCAGGAGTCCTGGGTTCTAATCCTGGGGCTCTGCTACCAACTTGTTGTCTGACTTCGGGCAGTCATTTCCCCTCTCTGGTCCTTTGTTTCTCCTCCCACCCTTTGTCTTGTCTATTTAAATTAGAAGTTCCTGCCCCAAGGACCTTACATTTGTACAGTGCCTAGAACACCGGGACCTCTCTCTCAACTGGGCTCTCTAGGCACTACTGGAATACAATTAACAATGTCAGTGGTCCCTCCAGTGCCTGACTGGGGCACTTAGGCGGAATAGTGTGGGGAAGCTTGCCTTGATGCTGCCCAGGCTGCTCTTTTATGGAGAACTAACGGGCTGTGCTGTCTCAGGCTGTCACTCATGCACCTTTCACGAGCACTGTATCATTTTAGGAGCAATACAGTTGGGGATCTGGATAATGTTTCTGTTTTTTTTTCTCCTCAGTTTCCAGACTATCTGCCCTGTTCAGTCTCCCTGCAACCAGCCCCTCATGATGTTGGGAAGGTGAGACCAACAGGGTTTTATATATTCAGTACTTCTACTGAGGAAGAAATTCACAGGAAAGAGCAAGAGATGCATATCTGGTTCAAATATTTTCAGAGCAAGAGCTAGGTAATACAGAAGTTAACCGAAGATGTGGCATAGTGCAATCTTGTGAACCACCCAACAGGAAATAAGCTAGAAAGTGGGATGGAGTCAGAGGCATTTTGAGTATCCAGTCTCATTTAGTAACATATAAATAGCAACATAACAGTTGGTGGGAGGGGGGGGGGGGAAGGGAAGCATTTCACTGAAACCTGAGACTCCATTTCCTTCAGAATACTACAGGAGATGTGGGTTGGCCACAAACGAAATAAGTGTCGTGATGTCAGACAAGCTTATATTAAATATTCACTCACATCACAGAGGCTCACACTCAAGTGTCTGAAACCTAATGCCTTTTTTTAAGACCAAGTGCCAAGATCTCCCATTAATTTAAAGCATATGTGGAAAGAACTTGTGTTACATGTTTGGGTAAAAAAAAAACATTAAAAAACAGGTTAAGAGTAACTAGGTAACAAGAGCTGTTACTCAAGGATAATGCATTTTAAAATATTGGATACTTGTCCAAACAACTAGACTGGACTTATGAAAAAGTGATGCAGAAGGTGTTGGGCAGACACTGGAAATTAGCCAAAGGATTTAGCAAAAGTATTTTAGCAAAAGGTTTCACAAATCTTTAAAGAGAGAACCAAATGGGACTTGGCCACATGTACCTTAGAAGCAGTGTCCAATATGCGCATGATCCTGCAGGGACAACAATCAGCTCTGTCTGATTGCAAAGAGTTATTCTTAGACTCCAAGTGGCAAAAAAGGAAGGTCCAATCTGTAAAGGAATTCCACATCTCAGGTGCTGATGTTAGTCATTTTAGAAATACGGGACAGGCTGGCTAATCTTCAAGAAACATGGGGCATGTTGCTCAGAGTGAGTCTTGTGAGCACTTGCCTCACAAGAAAACATAATAGGCTTGGAGGTGTCAATTGCAGGGCCGGCTCCAGGGTTTTGGCCGCCCCAAGCAGCCAAACAAACAAACAACAACAAAAGCGTGATCGCGATCTGCGGCGGCAATTCAGCGGGAGGTCCTTTGCTCCGAGCGGGAGTGAGGGACCGTCTGCCGAATTGCCGCTGAACAGCTGGACGTGCCGCCCCTCTCCGAAGTGGCCGCCCCAAGCACCTGCTTGGTAAGCTGGTGGCTGAAGCCGGCCCTGGTCAGTTGTCAAGTTCAGGAATAAGATTTTCCAAACCCTGGGTATTACACCTGCAGAGTTCCTTGAATAGGAAGGCTGCTAACCACTTAACAAATTTCACAGCTTCCCTCTCTCTCTCTCTCTCTCTGGCAGTGCTGCGGGGTGGACTTTGAGGTGAAAGCTTTCTGTACAGAGAACGTGGAAGAGCGAATTCCCAAAAGGTAACAGAATGTGTATGGAATCAGGACAGTCCCTTGGAGCTTGTTCAGCTCTGCTCTGGGTATCTGTGTTCAGATCCTTCCATCAGAAACGTTCCGAAAGGGATGTGAATGCAGGTGAACAACCACTCCAGTGAAATAGGAGGTTCTGCTCTGCGTAATTTCAGTTCTGTTTGCCGCTCCTCAGGAACTTTGTGCGCCTGTTGATCCGTAAAGTACAGTATGCCCCAGAAGAACCAGGACCCCAGCCTCAAGCTGAAACCACCTGGCAGTTTTTCATGTCCAGCAAGCCACTGCACCTGAGAGCACGTCTGAGTAAAGAGGTGAGCAGTCTGCCCCAGAGAGCTCCGTCTGCTCATTGCTCAGACGCAAATACCTACTTCGCTGCCCCAAGACCTCCTCCCTGAGACGTTCGTGTCTGGATTCAGTTTGTTCTGACTTGCCCCAACATTCAAGTGCTCTGACACCATTTCTCGCAGTAGCTGCTGTTGGCAGTAGCCAGGAATGGAGTGTGTGTGAGCTCCCTCACTGGTGCTCTGCTACACAGTTCAATAGTGACTGACTACTGAAGTCAGTGGAAAGACTCCCATTGGCTTCAGTGGGCTTTGGGTCAGGCCGTAGGAGCTGAGGGTGTATGTACCTGGAGTAGTTGATGCCCTCTCATGAGTCCACAGGGGTTTCTGTTGCAAATGGCTGGGACTAGCATTGTATTTTTTAAATTGTACAAGCCCTTCTGCTGGGTTGTGTGCCATGTGCTGAGCCCATCTGACTCTTCCAGGTGTTTTACCATGGCGAGCCCATTCCTGTCACTGTCACCGTGACCAACAATACAGAGAAAACAGTGAAGAAGATCAGAGTGCTGGGTGCGTTTTTATTGTTGTCCTTAATCCCATGGGAGCTACGCAGGGTGGGTTTGTGTTTCATCCTGTCGTCAGATCTGGAACCTATTAGTGTCCCTCACTTAAACAGACCAGGGGTCACCCTGCTCCATTCCATCTCCCTGTCAGTGTCCCTATGCTGCTCCATTGCCTCTGCTGCCCTTCAGGAAATGGGACTCTCCAGAGCTGTCACCCTGTCCCTCCATTGCCCTCTGCTAGGAATTGTCTACGACCGCTCTAGATGTGCCTTTTCAAAGTGTGCATGATTTTGCACTGCTTTTCGGCCCACCACTGTTACAAGCGAAATGACAGCTGGCAAGAGAGTTCTTGTTATGGGAGACTGCCCACCTTAGAGTACTGAAGGGGTTCCCCCCTTCTCCCTGAGGAAGGTCAAGGGCAGGGTGTTGGGTTCAGTTCCAGTACTGCCTGGCTTTAATTTGTATTATGGTAACATTTAAAGGCCACAACTAAGATTAAACCCCCATTATATTAGGCCATCTACAAACACCTAGTGAGAGAGACAAAGGATAGGAGGGGAAACAGAGGCACAAGGAGGGCAAATGACTTGCCCAGTGCCAGGCAATGGGTCGGTGGCAGAGCTGGCAGTAGAAAGCAGGTCTCCAGAGTCCCAGTCCAGTGCTTTAAAGCATGCTGCCTCCTGTGTGGGAAGATGATGGTCTTAAATATGTGAAATGCAGAGTTTGAGTGAGCAGCAGGACACTTGGTAGTTGTCAATGGGGAATTGTCATTGAATGTGGTTATTTCTAGTGGTTCTGTAGAGATCAGTTCTGGGCCTGGCACTATTCAATGTTTTTATCAGTGATCTGGAAGTATATAGAACATCACTGCTGATAAAATTTGCAGACGACACACAGGTTGGCAGAATGGTAAATGACAGGGCAGTCCTACAGAGTGACTTGGTAAGCTGGGCCATTCAAACAAAATGTGTTTTCATACAGACAAATGCCAGGTTGCTCATCAAGGAACAAAGAATTCAGGCCATACCTACAGAATAGGGGACTATATCCAGGGAAGCAGTGATTCTGTCAAGGAGTTTAGGGGTCATAGTGGACAAGCAACTCGGCGTGATCTCCAGTGCGATACTGCAGCAAAAAGGATGAATCCGATCCTTGGCTATATAAACGGGATGAGTGAGTAGGAGGAGGGTAGTGGTGATACTCCTGCATACAGCATTGGGGAGACTGATACTGGAACACTGCTTCCAGTTCTGGGGTCACATTTTAAAGATGATGTTGAAAAATTGGGGAGGGTGCAGAAGATAGACACAAATGATATGAAGGCTGGGTAGAAAATGCCTTATAGTGAAAGACTTAAGAACTCAATCTGTTTGATATCCAAAAGATCAAGAGGGGATTGATTGTGATCTCCACAGGGAGAAAATACCATTTGTCTAAAGCCAGACAAATTCAAATTAGAAATAAGGTGTACATTTTTACCACTGAAGATGATTAACCATTGGAACAAACTACCAAGGGAAATAGTGGATTCTCCATCTTTTGATGGCTTCGGGACACTGTACCTTTCTGGAAGATGTGTTTAATCAAACACACGTTATTGAACTCAATGTGGGGGTAACTGGGTAAAATTCTAGAGCTTGTGTTATACGGGAGGTCTGTGAATTGTATGGGCTGTAACTGCTGTCCCTGTTTGTTCCTTCTTGAGAAGGGCAGTCGTTTACATTGTTTATATGCTGTGTCTGTATAATTGATTCTATCCCCTCACTCCTGTTTTTGTTCTTTCTCTCTCAGTGGAGCAAGTTGCCAATGTGGTTTTGTACTCGAGTGACTATTACACGAAGGCGGTAGCAATGGAGGAGGTGCAGTGAGTATCTGATTGTCCTGCTTTCCCTTCCCTACCCTGCTCAGTCATTTCCTTCACTCCCCTTTTAAGTACCTTCTCTCACCAGAAATTAAAGGCTCTCAGCTATGGTCTGGAGCTAGTTTCCTGGTGCAACCCTGCCCTGCCACACCTCAGACTAAGGGGATGCTGACAGAGGTAAGCTATCATGTTTTTGATGATCAATCCTATTCTCTCTCTCTCTCTCCACCCCATGCCCCGGATGAAAACAGTTCATTAGATACATGGAGAATTCTCTTGCCATCTGTAATTTCATTTGAAACAATGGAAAAGACATGAGATGGGGGTCTCCTCTCCCATCCAGCCAGGGACTGCCCCAGCCCTCCACTCAGGGATCTGAAAGGCGGGATATTCCAATACATAAGAATAGCCATACTGGGTCAGATCAATGGTCCATCTAGCCCAGTATCCTGTCTTCCGACAGTGGCCAATGCCAGGTGCTTCAGAGGGAATGAACAGGACAGGTAATCATCAAGTGACCAATCCCCAGCTTCTGGCAAACAGAAGTGGGGGACACTCAGAGCATGGGGTTGCATCCCTGCCCATCCTGGCTAATAGCCATCGATGGACCTATTCTCCAGGAACTTTTCTAGTTCTTTTTTGAACCCTGTTATAGTTTTGGCCTTCACAACATCTCCTGGCAACGAGTTCCATAGGTTAACTGTGATAAGAGCATAAATCCATCCCATCCATCTTTAAAGGAGTTTCAAAATGATGACTTGTAATTGTCACCCCAGGCTATGGCTGGCTTACAGAGCACTCTTCTGAGAGTCACAACAGCTATGCCACATCCTGCACTGAAACTGCCAGACCATCCCATTCAAGGGGGCTATTTTATTTTATTAAATTAGTTATAGGCTTTCAAAACTGTGGGGCACATCCCCAAAATACCTGCTTAACTGAATAACTTTAATTGAGCCTTCAGAATTGAGTGTCAGGTCAATGAAACACCTCTCTTAAAATAGCAGTCTGTATATATTTACCCGGTTTTCAATGTGTAGTTAAGATCACAGTAGCTGTGTAGATATTATTAGTGAGTGAGACTTTATTAGACCAACAATTGAGTAATAACATACTAGCCTGAGCTAACCATAAAACAGTCCCTTCTAGTGGTGGGTGAGTTTCCAGGAAAACAGGACTTGATTCTGTCTTTGGTTATGAATACAGTTCCCAGAGAGGGCAAAAATGGGCCCACAGCTGCTACGTATTTTTTTTATTAATGGAGATATCCCATCTCCTAGAACTGGAAGGGACCTTGAAAGGTCATCGAGTCCAGTCCCCTGCCTTCACTAGCAGGACCAAGTACTGATTTTGCCCCAGATTCCCCAAGTGGCCCCCTCAAGGATTGAACTCACAACCCTGGGTTTAGCAGGCCAATGCTCAAACCACGGAGCTATCCCTCCCCTCCACAAATTGAGCTGTATGTTGAGCTGTACCTTTGTTTTTGATTCCGTATCCATTATTTTTATATCTATTGTTTAAAAAAAAATCCCACCGTGTTCGTGTCTTTTACATAATTTTAAAATCCCCAAACCTAACGATCTGCATTAAGTTCACCAGTGTATCCTTGCCAGATAGCCCAGATAAAGTAACCAACTGGATTCTGGCACACAGCCTGCTGACCTCCTAAATGCCAATCCTTGGCCTGCTGCCCGCTCACCAAGTGCTTGACTGGGAAAAAATGAGCTTTGCAGTCCTGAGTTAGTCTGTTTTGTGTAGACTGGAGCACTAACACATGAGTCGTGTAATGCTCCAGGCTGTAAGCCTAAATGGTCTATTCAGTAATGTAGAAGGGGTTGGTGCCAAGGGGTTAGAGGGCTGAGTAATTAAAGAGAAAAGCAGAGTTGTTGTCTTATCGATTTGATCTGAGATTAAGTACTGTAACTTATTTTGCTGATATTCCATTCACACTGGGAGTTTATTTGTGGTTTCTTGACATGATTGTGAGACTTAAGAAACTCGGTTTACTTTACTTATCCAATAGGTGACTTGTTGCTGGCCTACATGGGGAGCGGTAGAAGGATCTCTAGTCTAGCTGAAAACCCACGGCAGAGAGTCTGAGTCTGGGTCGACTGACGCAGACTAGTGCTACAGGGCTAAAAATAGCAGCGTAGACATTCCAACTCAGGCTGGAGCCTGGTATCTGAACCCACCCCCTCACCAGGTTTCAGAGCCTGGGTTCCAGCGCAAGTGGGAATGACTACACTGCTATTTTTAGCCCCGTAGTGCAAGTCTGTGAGACAGAGTTAGTTGACCCAGACTCAGACTAAGACTAATGCTGCAGGGTTTTTGTGGTTTTGTTTTTGCAGTATAGTCATACCCACTGGTCCACAAATTGCAATGGCTGGAAGTGGAAGCTAAACAAGTTCAGGCTAGAAATAAAGGTGCGAAATTTTAACAATGAGGGTAACTAATCCTTGGAACAATTTACCAAGGAGGGTGGAGGATCTTCCTTCACCTGAAGTCTTTAAATCAAGACTCGATGTGTTTCTAAAAGATATGGGGTAGTGCGACCAGAAATCAAGGGCTTGAAAATTAATTGGATGAAATTGAATGTCCTTTGTGTGGCAGGAGATCAGATTAGATCATAATGGTCCCTTCTGGCCTTAATGCATGAAAACCAGTTACATGATTATGGTATGAAACCACTTGCTCCATTTTCAGGAATGCTTTGAAGTTTGCTTTGCTAGTATGGACAGGGCCTGGCCTGAAATGTTGGATTTTCTGCTCTCGGTTGTAGATCAAGCCAGACATAGCTTTGTTTTTAAGGCATTTTTTCCCTGGAAAGTACTGAACAGTTTCATAGATTCATCCCCTGCCCTCATGGCAGGACCAAATACTGTCTAGACCATCCCTGATAGATATTTATCTAACCTACTCTTAAATATCTCCAGAGATGGAGATTCCACAACCTCCCTATGCAATTTATTCCAGTGTTTAACCACCCTGACAGTTAGGAACTTTTTCCTAATGTCCAACCTAGACCTCCCTTGCTGCAGTTTAAGCCCATTGCTTCTTGTTCTATCCTTAGAGGCTAAAGTGAACAAGTTTTCTCTCTCCTCCTTATGACACCCTTTTAGATACCTGAAAACTGCTATCATGTCCCCTCTGTCTTCTCTTTTCCAAACTAAACAAACCCAATTCCTTCAGCCTTCCTTCATAGGTCATGTTCTCAAGACCTTTAATCATTCTTGTTGCTCTTCTCTGGACCCTTTCCAATTTCTCCACATCTTTCTTGAAATGCGGTGCCCAGAACTGGACACAATACTCCAGTTGAGACCTAACCAGCGCAGAGTAGAGCGGAAGAATGACTTCTCATGTCTTGCTCACAACACACCTGTTAATGCATCCCAGAATCATGTTTGCTTTTTCTGCAACAGCATCACACTGTTGACTCATATTTAGCTTGTGGTCCACCATAACCCCTAGATCCCTTTCTGCCATACTCCTTCTTAGACAGTCTCTTCCCATTTTGTATGTGTGAAACTGATTGTTCCTTCCTAAGTGGAGCACTTTGCATTTGTCTTTGTTAAACTTCATCCTGTTTACCTCAGACCATTTCTCCAATTTGTCCAGATCATTTTTAATTATGACCTTGTCTTCCAAAGCAGTTGCAATCCCTCCCAGTTTGGTATGCACTCACCTTATAGTAGCCCCATCTAAATTGTATTTGCCTTGTTTATCGATAAGAATATCATGCGAGACTGT